ATCTAGAATATTTTGAATTTTTTTTTGATTAATCATAACTTTGCAGTTATTTCTATTTATTAAAATGCGAATAGAAGAAAAAGGAAAGGTCATAATATTCAAATGAATTAGTTACTATTATATCAAAGTTATATCGATGTGCATTATCTCAAAATTGTAATTAGGAGGCATTAATTATCAGTAAAATTTTCTATAATTAAAATAATCTGAGAAAATCAATAAAAAATTCTTAGCTTTCAGTATATTTTTTTTATCTAGATTAGAAATAAAGTATTACTTTAAATGACATAAAGCACACTTTTAAATTTTATGTTGGGGGGGGGTTAACTTATTCTGCTAAAAACTTAACCCAAAATGTCCGCTCCATACTTACAACCATGAGTGAGTGAGACCAGGAAGACTAATATATTTTCTATCACATCAGATAGAGGTTACATGCTTATTAAATAAACAATAAATAATAAAATAATCTTAAAACATTAGCGTTTATGATTTAAGAAACTTCAGTTGGTAAATTGATATTGAATATATCGATTTCACTTAAAATGAATTCACAATTTTCGCGGTCATGCGCTCGTTATAATAATTTCGCGCAAATACATTCGCGGTAGAAAATTCGCTATAAATGGTTTGCGATTAAAGTTTCGCTATAACGAGTTCGCGATCAAAGTTTCGCTAAAATGTATTCGCGGTTTAGGTTTCGCGGAAATAAATTCGCGATAATGAGTTCGCGATCAAAGTTTCGCCAAAATGTATTCGCTATAAAGTATTCGCGGTTAAAGTTTCGCGAAAATAAATTCGCTATAAAGTATTCGCGGTTAAAGTTTCGCGAAAATAAATTCGCTATAAAGAGTTCGCGATAAAAGTTTCGCTAAAATGTATTCGCTATAAAGTATTCGCGGTTACGGTTTCGCGGAAATAAATTCGCTATAACGAGTTCGCGATCAAAGTTTCGCTATAATGTATTCGCTATAAAGTATTCGCGGTCATGGTTTCGCGGAAATAAATTCGCGATAATAAGTTCGCGATATTGTCTTCGCTATAAAAGTTTCGCGGAATTGGTTTCGCGATATTGCCTTCGCTATAAAATTCCTTCGCGATAAACGACATTCGCGATAAACGACATTCGCGATAAAAGTTTCGCTGAATTGACCTGATACGGTTAAAACGCCTTTAAAAAAAATTACAATGCATAGATAAATTAAAAAGTTAGAAATTATAGTAATATTATTATATCAATTTGAAATAAAAATGTTTATAAGGCATTTTTTTATTAATTTTTCTGAAACAGGGTTAGCACTCTTCCATTTCGGGCTGACATGACGCTTGTACATCATATGCATGGCTTATTATATTTGATGAATTAATATTTAATTTAAGTTGCTCTAAAATACAATTAGTAATGCTTTCAGCAGAAAAACATTGTAAATTAATGATTATTAAATTTCATAGATTTCTCCACAATATATATAACGAATAATTATGCTCAGGTTTTCACAACATGTTTATTAATTTGTATAAATTAAATAATATTTTTATATAAATTTTGTTGTATTTTCATTTGAATTTAATTGTTAATAGTAAATTAAAGTAACTAAATTTTTATTTAAATTAGAGGCCAAAAATTATACCCGAAAGCCAGGTTTGGGGCCAAAATTTTTTGGGGGGTTAGGGGCTGCCCTTTTCCCCCGGGCCCCTGTGGTTACGGCTTTGTGAATCTGACTAATATACGGCGCAGTTCTAAGCATGGAACCTGCCAAACTTTTGAAGCCCTATTAAACAGTATATACATTTTAATTTAATCTTCAATCCGTTTGGTAAACAGTGTAAATAAAAAATATATTGCAAAATATGAAAATTAGTAAAATTCACATCAAGATTCAAGGTAGAATGAAGAAAATAAAAAAATTACAAATAAAAGATGGAAAAAATTATTATCACTATAAAAATCAACTTTTTACCATATTACAATTTGAGACTCGATATCTCTAGCTGTGATTTTGATACTCTTATAATTTAGTAACAGTACCATAAAAAAATCAAAATGCGATACAAAAATAAGGTGGGTTCTGAAAACGATTATAATAGTGATTGTTTAGTAAAGTAATACAAAGTGTGCTTTTACAATTGAAGATAGGAAAGGTTAAACGCCGTTCCCACACGAACCATAGTGTCTCTAGGATGCGGATGCGTCTTTTTTTAAAATTTTTTATGTGAAAATTTTATTATAAAATGAAACGTGCCTCTTGTATTGTTTATTCGTAGATTTTTAAGATGTTTTTAAGCGCCTTTTTCTTTTTAACTTGAATAAGAAATTTCTAAAATTATTTTATATAATTTAAAAATTAAGGAGGGGTTTTATCAATTTAAAAGAAACGAAAGCAAATTTTCGTCTTGATATTAAGTAATGAAAACAAAAATTTTACATTATCGTATTCTATAGAGAAAGAATAAGGGGGAGGGGGGGGGATAAAATAAATTTACCTTAGGGCAACTAAAAAATTCTTAATATCCATATTAAATTAATAGGACTGTGTCGACATTCAATATCGATCGGGACCTATATTTCGCGTTTTTAAATACCCCTTCGGGCCGATATTTTTATAAAAGCCGATCCGATCTGATATTTTTATTGTTTTTGGTTATATTATGAGTGCATATATAATTATACAATTAATATCTTTTTTTTTACATAATTTCATAATAATAAATTTATATGGAACCAAAATTCAATTTATTTGTAATGTTAAAAAAAAATCAAATTATTTAAAAGGTGAGTAGCTAAAATTTTATTCTACAACAAGAAAATGAATTTAAAATTAATGAGTACATTAAGATAGTTATTAAAACGGCTAGCTCAATTTTAGCCTAAAGTAAATTATGCAAGTTTAGATATTTTGCCCACAGTCGGCAGAAAGGTTTGGACATCTATTATCAAAATTTCAAGGCTTATATATCAATGTTTATTTTAAAAATTGGTTAAATCTTGCCGTTTAACAACACCACATTCAGCCATAAATATTTTTCATATTTTAAATGAAATCTTTAACTTTTCGAGTATAAAAAAACAAAATACACTTATTCGTTAAAGTTTTTTTTTTGAATAGAAAATATTAATTTTATAGCATTTATCAAAATATAGATGGTAAATAAAATCAATTTAAATATCGGTATCGGTTATCAGATCGGTTTTGTAATATTGGAAATATCGGATTGGAACAACGAAAAATTTTTGAATCGGCACAGCCCTAGAAATAATTTTATCTATCAAACTAAACAATTTTTTAAAAATTAAATTAAAAATACATTTAAAATTAAAAACAATAAATTTTTAAATAAATATTTTAAAAAATATATTTTCACGTGATCCCTCTTGACTACGTCACTATCCACTATAATTCTTACTTATTAAATTACAATTAATCCGTTGATAAAATTAAAAAAATGATGCTTCAATTATAATTATGGATGTTAAATAGGTACTTTCGAGGAGAAATGCGAAATTTCCAGGTAAATTACCCCGTTAAATATCATTTTTTTCGAAAATTTCCTCTAGTTTTCTCAATTTTTATATTGTGCTTTTTTAAATAAAATAACAGTGATTTTTATCATTTTTTAATATATATTTTTATTCATCATTAAATTTTCACTTAAATTACCTAAATTAAAGGTATATTTTATTTGACACATATATATATATACCCGATATTTAAATATGAAAGATATTTAAAAATTATTTTTATCATAATAAATTACCAATTAATAAGTACATTAAAATTAATCTTAAGTATGTATTTGAAAAGTAAAAAACGTATTATTCAGGAGAACAATTAATTTATATTATAGTTAAGATATTTTCGATTTCTTTGTTTCTTAAATTTAATATATAGTAATATATATATTCGAACGCCAAAATTAATTTTTGCTTTATCAATTTATAAGTTTTATTATTTATTTTTTCTTGTTTATTCTATGGAATTAGAAAAACTCTAATTGTAACTCTTCTAGTCTAAATAATAATATAGTATTCGTGTGAATATAAAAAAGTTTTCAAAATAATATTCTGTAAATAATTTAAACTTATAATTTTACATTGAAAATATTTATTTGAAATATCGAAATGGGAATTATAAAAGGAAATGATAAAAAAATGTGTTTTAGTAACAGAATATATCTATTTATGGAAAAATTGGCTCCTAGATTTACTAATTGTAATTCTTGATCTACAGGATTGCTTTAAAGTGTTCTCAAAATTGACTAATTCTAATTTTGATCTTCAAGATTGCTTTAAAGTGTCCTCAAAATTGACTAATTGTAATTTGATCTTCAAGATGGCTTTAAAGTGTCCATAAAAGAAAATAATGAGCAATAATAGTACTTATTTTCATGAAACTTTAAAAAAACTAAATATTGCATGATTTTTTTTCCCAGAAATTCCCCAATTTTCCAGGAAATTTACATCCCTTATAATAGATTATAAATCACAAGCTATTATGTTTATGTGATAAAACTTTTTCCCTATTTGAATTTAATTGTATTTTTTAAATTTTCATTTTGCAAACAGCCCAAAATATTTTTTTAAATATGGGTTAGGTTAGAAAAAGGGGGAGGGGGTTAAATTTAGCAAGCATTCACTGAGAAGAAAATAATATCTCAATTTAGATAAATGCTCATCTGAAAATATAAGATTTATAAGTAATAAATAGGGAAAATATAAATAGCCATAATTTAGATTTAAAAATTCCTTGACAACTCATTTTAAAAAAGAATTTGGGGAAAAGGTACTTTAATTTTAATATACCTATTCTATGAAGTTAAACAGAATAGACTCTTAAATTAGCAAAAAGGGTGATGGATAATGTTTCAAATTTAATTTTTTAAAGATTTCCTAAATGAAAAACTTTATAAGAAATACATATTTTTAAATATTTTTATAATTGTTAAAAGAAATATATTTATTTGTTGATTATTGGGACAACTCAACTTATATAATATTTTACTTCATAAGCATTTTTGATGTTTATAGGCTCTTTAGTGGCTGCAACAATACCAGCTATACCTTTACCCCAGGGTATTACAATGGCGTTTTCTGAAGAGTGAACTGATTCTTCTAGCGTTGACTTTTCAGTGACATCATACAAAGTGGATATCAATATGGGCATATCTTTGGTGCCCTTAGTCAGGAATAAACTGCCTCTGTCTGAATTTGTCAACAAACTGACATTCCTTAATATCTTATGACATAGTATGTTAATATCTAACTCATTTGAAATGTCTTTGATGAGTTCCATGAACAAGTCATTCTCATTCAAGTTAACAATTTTTGATTCATCAATCAGTGTTGGAGGTGCTGATGTTTTTTTAGCCTTCTTGGTTTCGTCTCCCATTATAGACGAGTTGTCTAAAAGGTGAGAATCAGTACTAAGTATATTATAAACTAGTTCAGTGAATTTACTCTTTTGGGAAGGTGTGTATACATCTGAGACAAGAGATATTGTTGATGATAAAAGAGAATTTTTTTTCATCTTTTTTTTGATTATTCATATAATTCTATCAAAAATTCTTGATTGATATTGACAAATAATATTATCTTATCATCATATCTTTTTCGTAAAAACATATTTTTATAAATACAGGTGAAAAAAAAGGCATGTTCTAAAATACGATACGATCTAACCATATGTTTTTCATTTTTAAAGAAATATTATGTCATGTTATATTTTTTAGAATAAACTAGACTATTTTAGTTGAGAATAATATTAGTAATTTGTTAATTGTTTTTCCAATTTTTTATTTATTTAATTTTATTTCATTTATTATTTTACTACACTTATCTTCTTATTTTTCATACCCCCCCCCCAAAAAAAAAAAATACAAAATTGCACACGGCATATATGATAAATGGACAGATCAGATTAGAAAAAAACATGGTGGGCTACATTTTAACGATGTAAAGAAAAGCTATAGTAGCTTTTCAAAATATTTCACAGAAAAAGACACTAATAGCAAGGAAATTATTTTATTAAATATATAATTGTTTTTACTTATCTTAAAGAACAATTTAAGAAAAATAAAAATAAAAATTGGGAATTTAAAGGTTTTGGTAAAATAAATATTTTAATCAATAAATAGAAATAGTAGCTGGTTAAAAATATTTTGATAAAGAAAACAGCCAATTAAAATTATAAAAAAAATTAATATTAAATTATTATTTCATATTTTCAAATGAATAAAAATAAGAAGATTTATAAAATTGAACTAACCTAAAAATCGAACGTGTTCTTCAAAAAAAAAATGGAACGCGTTCTTGTTCAAAGTTCGTCAAAGAAAAGGAACGTAATTCATCATTTTTTTCAAACCTATAGTTATTTAATTACTCCTATTTTTTTATTTACTATATTATATTTTTGATAGGCAGACACTGAGCAGATAATTGATAATAAAGAAAAATAATCTCTATGTTGATAACTACTACAATAAGAGGTGGAACGAGAGCAATCAATCATAAACATTTATTGAAAGCCAGTGAGGATAATGACCACGCTTCACGATACCTTACTGTCACATATCTCAAAAAATTGCTCGTTAAGGGATGTAATATGTGGTTTTCCGATGTAAATGGATATTGAATTTTGATATTTCAAATTTAAGCATAGAACTAACTTTTCGAAACTGACTTTGTTAAAAAAATATAATTTTTATAACGTTAAAAAGATTAATTACTATGTTAAGAAAAATTACTATTATTTTTACAACGTTAAAAAATTTACTATTATTTCTACTGTGTTATAAATATACATGATGAAAATAAAATTACTATTTCTTATTTTTTAAATATTTTAAAAAATCATATTTCATACGATATATTTTTAGTGTAATTTTTTTATTACGTTAAAAAAAATATACATGAGGGAAGCAAATTTAACATTGTTTTTTTAAATAAATAAAAAGAAAATCATGCTATGGTATTGTGTAATTTTACAATAAAAAAATAGGCATTGGGGAAGCAAATAAATAAATGCTTATTATTTTGATAAATCAATGATATATATAATTGTAATAAATAAAAGAGAAAGAAATTTTTTTATATTATATTTTTTCCCTACTTTTTTAAATAAAATATTTTTTCTCTTTAAAAGCAATAATTAATGTTTAATAATCGTAATTATATTATTGAAAATTTATTAATATTAACATTTAGCCTAGGAAATTTTGATGCGAAAAAATTGATTATTGAAAAAGGAAGACCAAAACCAATTTTACATAACTTAGAAAAAGAAATCAAAACTGCATTCGTAATTTTTCTATCAATAAAAAATATGAAAGGCTCATTGGATGTGAATTTTATAATTCTCTATATTGTTCGTCATGCCTATTATTCCCAAATAAAAAATTTGGAATGATAAAGGATTTTTAGATTTGAATAATTTTTCAAAGACAGTTAAACGGTTTGAAGAATTAACAGCTCATTTGCAGTATGATTAAATTAAAAACATTGGCTAAAATCGTTTTGAAATTATAATAGATTCGATGAACAGCATAATTCAAAAGTCAAATTAAATAGAATAATATTAAAAATATTGATCAACTCTATATTTGGAATTCAAGAGCTCGTATTCCATGGTGACGATGAATCTAATTCAGTAAATAAAGGAAATTATATTGAATTAATTTATTTGTTCGCGGAAGAAAATTTACTATTGAAACATCATTTAGAAAATAGTGCAGTTTTTTCGACTATCAAGCGATATTCAAAATAATTTTTAATTCCATTTTATGTGTTACACCAAATATTAAATGGAATTGGAAGAAACCCAATTTATAACAATAATATTAGATGAAACATCTAAATTATAAATCTCAATTTTGTCATTAAAATCTTGAATAATAAAAATTATGAAAAAATTAATAGGTCAAAGTTAAAGAATATAATGTTTTTTTTGCACTAACTTTATCTAGTTTAATCAGTTTATTTAGTACATCATCTAAGCGAACAGCGGAATTTGATAAATATGTCAAAATAGATTACCACAAGCAGCCCCAACGAAATTAAAATACAATGGTCGGCTGGTTCAAACAGTTTTTAATTATTTGAAGGATATAGTCTTTTTTTAAAAAATATGATTGATGAAGGATCTGATAATGTTTGGGTTAATGATGTTCTAATAACATTATCGTGGCTATTTAAATATATTAAATGATACAAATTTTCTAATTATGTTATATTTTTTTAAAGAATTTTTTATAGAATCTGATTTATTATTTAATATACTTCAAACTAAAATTAACGATATATCTTATTGTCAAAGGTATTAACGATCAGAAATTCAGTTAAATTAAACATAGAAAACTTTGATGTTTTTTGAAGAAATTTAAATGTAAAAGAAAATATTAAAGACAATTTAGATAAAAAACGTAATAGATTCGGATTGCCCAATACAAAAGAATTTTAAAAAATTTTGATATAAAATAACAAATAATATAATTAATGAATTTAGGTTCGATACATTAAAAAATATCAAATTCATCAAATTGTTAGATATTAGTAAATTCCAAATATTTAATCAAAATTTCCCAAAATATTTATTCGATAATTTAAATGATATTCTCAATATTTCGACTTACACCTGGAAACCGAATTAAAGGTAGTGTTTCTGGACGATGGATTTAAAAAGAAAAAGAATATTAATAAAATACTTAAATTTTTAATATGTACCTATTTGATGAAAAGTTTTAAAGAGTTTTTTAAATTATGCAAATTAATCTAAACTTTGGCTTCAACAACAGCAAGTACAGAATGGATTTTTAAAGAGAATCACAATTCTTATTGCAAGGATGAGTCAAAATATCGAATCTATTTTTGATATCGATTGAAAAAAATTATTAAAAAATTTAAGATCTATAACTTTTATAATTCAGTAATTGATCATTTTACTCAAAAACAAAGACGAATTCCACTTATTTGTAAATCTTAATTTCTTTTATGGTTTGGCTAATAAATAAATAAATATAAAATATATTTTTGATTGCTTCCCTAGTAGTAAACTTGACGCTTCGTCACAGAATATAACATATAACAAATAAAATTAAAACAATTGTATATGAATTTATAATGAAGAAAGTAAGAGAAGTTAAATAATAATATATTCAATTTTATTCATTTAGGATAAATCTGAATTCAATGGGATAAGATATAATAAATCTTTAATTGTAAATCTGATTTATTTATATAAATGAAACGCATCTCAGAATTAATTTCACATGAACATAATTGTACATATTAAACTTAACTCACTAAAAAATATATTTTGCATTTTCGGACCAATAATACATAAAAAATTCTTTTAAAGCCGGTATTGACTTTTTTCACTATCTCTTTACTGCCAATATGAGTTTAAGAATAGAGCTAGTCTCTAAGGTAACTACGGTCAAAATATTCTTCTCATTTTAAATTAACCTCTATTTATTTTTATCCTTTTAATTGAGGCAGTAACTCGCTTTGTTGCTTTCAACAACACATAAGGGCAAAGTGCATAATGATAGACAAAGACGAAGGTATATAATATTAAATTTAGAATATTTAATTTTCTCCTACATCTGATTTAAATATTAGAATATTTAAGAGGCAGAAATCCATGGTATTAAATAGTGCTATAAACGTTACTTCAGAAAGAAACGCGTTATTTGTAACATCTAAAACTGGCTGTAATTACCTAACACGGGGATTGATAAACGAGAATCATCGATCCGGATCATGTGATTTTTGGAAATGGATTAAACTAAAATAATTGCTGATGTTATGGATTATATATATTGATTATTATGATATTGTTATCGGAATATATAAGATTAATATTATTTGTATAAATGGTTTCTTTGATTGCAATAAAGAATTACAAGAATCCAACCTATATAAATATTGATATGCTATATATTGAAGACGAAAATGGGATCTGAATGGGAAAAATAAAAATTAATTGGTATAAGAATTGTTTATTTGTTTGATGATAAATATATTATTATTATTATTCATGCTGATTAAATATAATTTGTGTTGATTAAATATAAGGACATGCTGCTGAAATCTAAAATAATGTGAAAGAGATTGCAGGATAGATATTATTATGGAATTCTAAATGATTAATGAAACAATAAATATTTAATTGGGTACAAATGGTAATGAAGAATATTCAATAATTATTGGATTTTAGGATATGATTTAGGATTTTATTAATTATGGAAGATAATTAGCAAATATAATGGTCCATCTGATATGAATAAAGTGTTAAATAGATATAAATATGAATTTGAGATAATGGAAAATATATGAAATATAATTTATGTAAATATTTTTTGTTGTTTGGATAATAGTTTAATTGGGGATATATTTGAAATAGGAATGATATGGAATTTTGGGAAATTGATAACTCTATGGGAAATAGTATTGTGAAAATATGGATACTAACGATATAGTGACATTACATGGTAATTGTGCTTATGGATTATGATTATGGATCTAAGGTAATTTTGGGGAAAAAGGTTACTTATAAAAGAACCTGGAAAATTTGGATGTTGGGAAAAGTTTATTGAGAATCTGGTTAATTTTGACATTGGGGAAAAGGTAATGAAGTCCTGGTTAATTAGAAATAATTATAGTCCGGTTATAAAAATTAGAAACGATGTTGTACATCGAAGATACTCAGGGGTAGTTGCCCAGTAGATTTCATTTAAAAGAGGTTTGTCTATCCATGATGCCCATTAAGTGATATAATGATTCGCTAAATGATAATAAGGAGTATTTGGAATAAAAAGGAAATTAGTGGTGGTTACAGGGACCTCATGGTGGTTCAAGCGATAGCGGATTATTCAAAGACTGTTCAATGTTTAACGCCTTATGAACTATCCAGGTGGGTACGCAATTGTGGGTGCAATATTGTTAAGATGACCGCAATGCCGTCCAAGTGATAACGGGATCTTCGAGGATCGTTCAAATTTTAACGCCATTGGGATCATCCAAGGCTTGCGACTTGACGATGTATAGAATTGGATAAAGGAGTTAGGGAAGAAATATAGTTATTAGCTACCTAACCTAGGGAATGATATACGAAAATCATCAATTGGTTTTTGGAGATTGAGTAAAGTTCTAGATTAATTGCTGGTGTTATGGATTTTATATATTGATTATTATGATGTTATTATCGGAATATATATGATTAATATTATTTGCATAAAAGGGTTATTTGATTTCAATAAAGAATACATGAATTAAATTTATATATATTGATATGTTATACTTACTCATTGCTTAAAAAATTAAATATAGCCGACTCAAAGAGCCGACTCTGAAGCCGACTCAAAGAGCCGACTCTGAAGCCGACTCAACGAGCCGAGTCTGATGCCGACTCTGAAGCCGACTCTGAAGCCGAATCATCGAGCCGACTCATGCGGCTCATTGAGCCGCTCAAATTGAAATGAGTTTTGCGACTCAAAACTTGATTAGATTTTAGGCTAAGTCTACTCGACTTAGCCAATTAACAACACTATATGTAAGCCTCGAGATTTGGCAAACTTCAACCTTATGAGAAAAATCTTTAACATATTATTATTTTGGCCAAAATCTTAATTGGACCGTTTTAAAAATCGACCCAAATTTGGCTATTAAATATCACAAATTATAGGGAGATAATCACAACCTTTCTTAAATATATTTTTGGCACTTTTATTTTATCTATTGCCCTAAATTATTTGTGTATATTTTTCTGCTGTTAAGTAAATAGGTCTGAACGTTAATATATTATTTTGAGCAATTCATTTTTAATCTTGAGCATTACAGTTTAAAATCTGAGCAAATATTAAATTTTCTTCACAGCATTATAGTGTTTTTTTATTTATTTTAGCATTAAGATAGTTCTGAGTCATTCACATTCTGTAGTTTCTTTAAGGATTTTTATTTTTAGCGTTTCATGATGTTTAAATAATTTATATATTTTAGAAATTAATTTCAATTTTATAAAATGACATATTAGGTAATATTTTCTTGATTTTTCAATAAAGCCAAATTATTATAATTATTCTTTTATCGAACAGAGGGCTTTATCCTTCTATTATTTTTTTATATTAAATCTAGGACTTTGTTTGAGCTTAAATGCTTAAAGAAAATTTAAGATAAGAATAATCATGATTAATTCTACTAAAAATGAGTTCATAGTAGGGAACCGGTATAGATTAATTAGAAAGATTGGTAGTGGTTCTTTTGGTGATATTTATCTCGGAGTTAATATTTATAATGGCGAAGTAATCTTAAATTATATATTTTAATCATTTATATATAAATTAGGAAGTTGCTGTTAAAATTGAATCTGTAAAAGCAAGACATCCTCAATTGCAATATGAAAGCAAATTATATAAACTATTTCAAGGTGGAATTGGCATACCACATATAAGGCAAATATGATTTAATGTATAAATTTTAACATCTTTTTAGATGGTTTGGTGATGAGAGAGGATTTAATCTGATGGTAATGGATTTATTAGGCCCAAGTTTAGAAGATCTTTTTAACTTTTGTTCAAGACGTTTTACATTAAAAACTGTTTTGATGTTAGCTGATCAAGTAATTTAATTTAAGGAAAAACATTTAATAAGTATTTAAATTAGATGATATCTAGGTTAGAATATATTCACCACAAAAATTTCATTCATCGGGATGTTAAGCCTGATAATTTTTTGATGGGGATTGGGAGACATTGTAATAAGGTATAATTATTAATAAACCTGCTGAATACTTGTTTTATTATACATATATAGTTATACATAATAGATTTTGGTTTGGCTAAAAAATATCGTGATAATCGCACTAGACTACATATTCCTTATAGAGATGATAAAAATTTAACAGGCACAGCAAGATATGCTAGTATAAATGCACATCTAGGCATTGAGCAAAGGTTTCACTATTCATTTTAAAACAATACTAATTATTAAATAGTCGGCGTGATGATATGGAATCTTTAGGATATATTTTGATGTATTTTAATAGGACTAGTTTACCTTGGCAAGGATTAAAGGTTTCATTGATTTAATACCAATTTAAATTTTAAAAATTAGAATCCCCTAGATATCTCAAGTGAGAAGAGAAATATATAAGATTAAGAAACACAAACCTTAAATCTGGATAAAATATTGAGTTAGCCATTTTAGTGGAAAATATTAATCGAATAATGTATTCATCTTAGGTATAAATGGGGTTGGGCCAGGATAATCTTTAATTTAAACATTCATTAAATATTTCTCACCAATATTTGAATCAGTGCCAGTTGATACTTTAAATTTTAACCAATATCTGTTACTGGTACTCAAAAATGATAATTAACCTACATTTATTTATAAATTTTAATGAACATTATGCTTTGAGATTATAAAAAAATATATAAGTTTCTAAACCAATAAAAATGTTGTTAATTTATTTTATGAAATATAAATTAATTATATAGATAAATAAATTAAAATGATAATATTGAATGAATTATATGTGCCTGGTTCAAAATAAATATAAATAGTACATTATTATTTTTGGTATTTTCCAGAGTTGTTAAAAGATACTTTTTAAATGGATCTAGATACAGATACATAGTCTCAAAAGTTATCTAGATACAGATACAGCGGCTAAAAAGTTATCAAGATACAGATACAATTTTAAATGTATCTGTATACAGATACATTTTTTTATGCTAATTAATATTATTTTGTGAAAATTCATGAAATGAGCTAAAAATTTATTGACGCGATATAACATTTATCAGAATATAACTAAAATTATAATTTTAATATAATATATGAAAATATATGATTAAATAATTATTAGATTTCAGTAATAAAATATTTTCAAAATTTTGATCATTTAGGCATCCTCGTTTATCTGTGAAAACATTTTTAGCAACACTAAATAGTCTTTCCACAGGGGCGCTTGAAGGAATTGTAGTGTTATATTTAATAAATAACAATTTTATATCAGGGTATTCTTTAAAAATGCTAAAATCTCTACATTTATTTTTGAAAAAGTTATTTAAAATTTGTTGATTATCAAAATTTAAATCATTAGAAATTATATCTGCTGTAGGGTACTGAAAAAAATCTGAAATTAAATTATTTGTTTTTTTGGCAGGTTATTTGCTTGCAGTCAGTTGATGACTTTGATAATTCACCAGCTAATCTTTGTATCAATTGTTTTCTTTTATAATGGCTGCATGCCATCTATAATAAAAGCAATAATTAAATCATCTAAAGTGCCTTGAGTTAAAGTCAAAGGTCTTTTAGCAAAAATATTATTGGAGGATGAGCCTTGCCAATATTTTCTTTAGTATTTTATTTTCCTTCCCCTTTTTTATTTTTGTTAACAAGGTTGGATATTTTCTCTTAAAATTTTAATTAGAATTTTTATATATAATATCTATACCCTTATGTGCTTCACGATATTGCACGTTGAAGTCATACTGACGGATATTTTTGTATTTTTAGGTAGACACGGCAAACCTTTTACCATCAGAGAATTAATTGTTTTCTTTGTTTTGAGATATTATTTTAAAATATGCTCAATTTGGCCATGGTAAAGCAATAGAACTTGTTGCTTCCTCTTCTTCATCGATATAGATCTAAATAAATATATAAACTTAAAAATTTAGTTATAAAATAAAATTTACCATTTCCATATTGTAATATTAAAATTTGTATGGTTTATTGATAAACTCTAATATTTAAATTAATGAATATTTATATATATTTTTTATATATGTTTTAATATTTTATGTATATATAATTCTTTATTATAGTATTAATAAATATTAATATATAATATATATATATTTATTTATTTCATAAGCTCATATGAAATAAAATAAATTTTACAGTCAAATATTTTTATTTACAATAAAAAAAGGGGTATATAAAATGTATCTTAAAAAGTATCTAAAAACAGATACAGATATCTCTAAAAAAATATCTATATACAGATACAGATACCTTTCTAAAAAATCTATCTTGATACAGATATAGATACTACATTTTTATATCTAGATACAGTATCTAGATACTTGTATCTAGATACTTTAACAACTCTGGTATTTTCATTGGGTATTGATATAAGACAGCTTTCGTAACCTTTCCAAGGACTAACAAACAACTTTATGGGTTAGAAAGAATGCTAGCTTAGAAAATTTATTCATACACATATTCATTCTTCTACTACCATTGAGATGTTTATCATATCATCTAAATAACAAAATTTCATTTTTTTAAAACAATCCAATTTGTGATATCCAAGGCAGTATTTACAATGCCCTAATTCTGCTCTCTTTTCATCCTGACTCAACTTGCAGACATCTCTTTCTATTATGTGAGCTTTTCACAAGGTTTATAATAACACAGTCATATTCCTCTCCTTAACATTTCCTCATCTCCAGCATGTGAATTTTGTTGAATGGCATAGGGCCCTATTTTTTGAAACATGTACTCTCACAGGGATGTTAAACAAACTAAAGACATAATTAGATTATGGGTTCACTTTTTTAATTATATATGCCCCACTTTTCATAATCCTTATCCTAGAGTGTATAATATTTTGGAAAATGTACATTTATTAGAACCTCCCATAAATTTTAAAATGGGCTTTGGTTATACAAAAGTTCATAGTAATCATAATAGTTAACCTTGTTAATTTATAATGAGATTTACATTTTAGTAATTTTTGTAATATATTAATTAAAAATAATGGTAAAATATTTATTTCCACCCATTCATATTTCTCCATACCCCCTGAAATTTGAAAAGTAAACTAAAGGTAGTATATATGGGGTAAAATTTTAGCCCTATATATTTTTGGATAATTAAGGAAAGGACCTAATATTTTTTGCCATATATTTATTTATTTAATAATTTTCTAAATACAATTATAAAATTTAGCATCATATCAAAATTCATTAGATCATGTAATTTTTAGAAACAAATTAATTAATTTACAGTCTTTAAATGACAAGTAGGTTTAATGTTAAATTTACCATATGGCAAAGAGAAATGAATGAACATCCAATATGCCATAATATTAATATTTATTACAAATGGAATTTGATGCATTGATACTTGGTTTTTAAGCTGATATTGATAGACTCAAAATTATCTAATTGATATGCTAATATAAATGTGGATGCATAGTATTTCTTCCACTATATGCTTATGTCCTAATTCCACTTCCTATGAAATATTTTTCTTTCCAGATAAACAGTAGATGCTAACAATATTAAATATTTATATTTTTATCCTATCATAAACAATCATCTTGATATTTAAAAGAAATAAATTCTTTTAATAAATATTTATTTCTCAAACAAGGAGATTCTCCTAATTTTCATATTTAAAAAAGCGCCATCCATGCAGTTGATAAAATAATATAGAGAATATAAAGGAAATAATAAGATATTTTAAATAATGCCAATCTGAAAAATTGATATTTAAACTGGATATTGGCTAGCATTATCGGTAAAAATTAAAAATACCAGTTGATATTGTCGGCGCATTTCTCAATATAATATTTATTTTTTAAATGGCAGATTGACTCAGAGAATAATCTGTATCAAGGCGATCCAAAAGTTGGATTTGAGCCTAGGTCATTATATTAACTGGTCAAATTTCTTTTTTGAAACGAATTTTATATTCGACCTGGTGTTTCCCCAGTTAAAATTAAACTGATGACTTTATATTAAGGCTGCGTATTTACGTTCAAGCAATTAGTGATCTGCATCATGCCCTACAAGCAATTATAAGGATCTGGATTTCATCAGGTGGAAGATTTTGCATCCAATAAAATTTGTTTCGGCAAAAATAATAAAAATATACTTCTGCTTGATTAAAGCCCTGAAAATGAAATTTTATTCATTTTTAAGCCCAAGCCTTCCCCAAATTAATTTTTGAACCCGGTTTCAAGTTTATTATTTCTCTACCCTAAATATTGGAATGAGCCTGTCCACCCTGAAAATTTTAATTCAAACCTATTTTTATAAAGTGAAATATAATGTAAATCACTAATTTGTCCTAATACCAAAGAAATCTTAATTGTTATATTTTTGAATGGCTATGCCTATTCTACTAAGACACATGGTTTAGGATAGACTATATTTTACCTTCCTTTCATCGTTGCCAACACAAAAAAATGTCATTTTCCAAATTTGATCTCTTATCAAAAGCTAAAATCTTATTTACGCTAGCTTTTTGCTAAATATATTTTAATGAGATCGGCGGAGTTGGTTGAATTTTTTTACCCATTTGTCTTTGAAGGATTCAGGCGGATTCGGAGTTCTTAACCCATAAAATTTTCCTCCAGGTTTATTTAAAAAACGAATTTGGTCTACACAGGTCTAACGCGGATTAAGGTTCTATATGGGTTCGGGTAATATTTCTGAAAATGCAAGCCTATAACATTGATAATATTTAAATTCACTTTATTTTATCATAAATAATAAATCAATTCTACCATAAAGTATCATAAAATGTTAAAATAATAGAAAATTTGATATAGTTATTTTTTAATTTATAAAGTGATGTGATTTCAATAGATAATTAATTTATTATATTTAATTATCATTTCATAATATCTTTCATTTTAAGAAGAAAAAATTAATATAAAAAATACATAGGTCCTGATCCGACCCTGGTTAGTTTTATTAAAAAACAAAACGCTCACAAATTAAGAAATTATTAATTTGATTTTACATAAAAAAAATTATATTTAAATTAGGCTGCTACAAAAAAACAAAAATATGAAAAAATCAGTGAAAAAAAGATGTCCACTCCAGTTGAAGTCCTATGCAGGGTAAATCACTTCTATTATTTTTTATTCGAATGCTTTAATATTATATACCATTCATTAGGAATGATAACAATTTTTAATATTGGCCCCATATTTATTTTTAAGAATATAGATTATCAGCAGCCGATATCGTTAAATTGGCTGATTCAATATATCAAAATGGTGGTTAAAAAAAATTATATATGATAATATTGAATCGTGTACTTCACCCCACCCTCTCCACTCAATAATGATAAGTATGGTAGTTCTTTTTAAATTGGAATATCGCCCATTTATTTTTTGGGTATGTTTGTTTTATTAACTAGTTCTGCTTTATTTTATTCCATATCTATGGATATTTTACTAATGATATTATTAAAAATCGTTCTCTGAAAACAAATATTGATACACCTCTACTACTCTTACCCAATTATTAATATCCGCTCATACCTTTTTTAAGCTTATTAATTTTTGGAACAGTGCAAGATTAATTTGATGTTATTGATAAGAAAGTTATGAATTAGTAAGAAAACCATACAATGTCTGACAAAATTATAAGTCCAGTATTAGAATCTTATATCCCACGCTAATTTTCAATTTTTTTGTCTAAATTTAAGAATTTTTTAATTAAGAAAAAATTAGATATTGTACGAGTAAACTTCATTTCTCAGTCCAATTATTTTTTTATTTGAGTAAATATATCTAACTGTAAAAAAGGGCGAAAGCCCTGACTCACGCCGTGAGCATGAATACCTTATGAATTTTGATCGGTGATTATGCTTGACTTTTCCAAGAAATCACCAGGCATGATTAGAAATTGCTTTAAACCACGGAAAATTTTAAAAAACAATATCTTTAAAAATCTGACCTCTTTCTTTATATATTTTATAACAGACTTTTAGGAAAAGCTTAATTCTTTATTTTTATTAAAGTTTTCGAATTTTATTTAAATCCTTTCCTTTTTTTCTAAAAATTAGCCAGTAAAATTTTTCTCAGTTCGGTTGGATGTACCGGTTTTTTTTTATCAAATTGTTCGGGCAGATAATATAAAATTTTCCGATTCAATAAAATGGCGTCTTGATTTTTAAAAAATTTATTTCAAATATTATAATATATTTGTTTATTACGTATTATGTGAATGGATTAATAAGTGATTTATCAATAAAAATATTTTTAAATTCATTATATAAACTATTACTGATCATTATAATATATTTAAATGACTTATGGTATAGTTAAATTATAGATGTTATACTAATGAGTAGATGTATGCATTAAAAATTAAAACGATTAGTATGTTTGCAGATTACAAAATCACTTCAGATATGATATCGGATCGGTAATCGACCGATATTAATTTAATGCCGGATTGGCCTCCAAAAACTGATATTGATGTACCTCTAATTATTTTCTATACCCAATAATCGTTTACTTAAGAAAAGACGAGCGCAATTAAAATAAATTCGTGATTTCGTAATTACTGCAAAGATATATAAGATTATATAAAATTAGGTAAATAAATAAGATAAGAATATAATATTTTTAAAAATAATCCATAAATTTTTCGGGTATGACAAGCGTGATATTTTGTCCTTCGAGCGTGAGTTGGTGGATTAGGCTAAAAAATGAATGTTTTTTAGTGTAAGCGTGAGTGGAGGTCGTGAAAAAAAATTAGTCTCATGATGCCTTATTTATTTGTATTATAACAAATATTTTGTTATAATTTAAGCCATTTACTTATCTTAAAAATATTACTTTAATAACAAAGGGCTTCCCAGCTGAATTCTCTATGTATCTCAACTACTGTCGTTCGCTGCGCTTTGAAGAAGCCCCTGACTACATGTACCTCCGCCAACTATTTCGCATTCTGTTCCGAACCCTTAACCATCAATATGACTACTGCTTTGATTGGACCCTGCTTAAACAAAAACACAATGATTTCGGAACTGGTACCTCTTCATCCACTACGAATGTAGGGGCTGCGGCTGCTGTAGGTGATTCGCCCGTAAATCAGCAGCAAAACCAGCCTGGAAATTCAGGCAACTTCGATGATAATAATCCTGCAGCATCAAATTTGGCCAAATTGTTGACCAATTTGGCGGCTGGAGGCTCTGGTAATTCAAAATTTGTCAGATTGTTAGAATGATTTTTTCGTCCCATTGCCAGAAATAGAGATCTGTAAAAAGTACACACTGGGTAATTCCATACGAAATCGATAACTTTTCGGTCCGACCTTTTTAATTTCGATAAAATTTTGTATGCTGAGAGAATATCATCTGAAAGCATCGAATCCAAAATTTTAGTTTCCTAGTACTCATAGTTCCAGAGATATCAATGGTCAAAAGTGCCAAAAATGACCTTTTCGAAAAATACGATTTTTTGAAATTGAGATAAGTTAAAAAATAATGATTTTAAAAATATAAGTTATATGTCATTTTCTAACTCTATTAAAGGCCTTTTATTAAATATTGAGGATTTTTTTGAAATAATATTGTTGCGGTTTTTATTTACATTATAAATTTTAAATATAAAATTCCAGGTGTTTCGCTTTCTTTGAATTAATATTTTCTTATTCTCTAATTCGCTTTCTTTGAATTAATATTTTCTTATTCTCTAACCTTATATCTATTCATAAAAAAATTTAAACTTGGGACAGCCATGGGTTGTTTAATTATTACGATTAAAAAAATCAAAAAATAAATATTTTTTTCAAAAATAGATGGCGCTCCTTTATAAAATAACATGTTTTGTTATAATAATTATTTTTTTAAACATAAATAATAAGATTTTCCAGCATTAATATCATGAAATGAGATTATTTAGCTGTGGTTATAATCATTTTTTTTATAAAAAATTTTAATTTTCGAAAAATTATTTTATAAATTTTGAAGGTATAATAGATAAATTAAAATTTATGAAAATTACCTATTTTCGGTTTTTCATTAAATTTAGTTTTTTGACGCCATGAAAATTTCGTTTTGCGATAAATTATATGCAGCGCCCAGTAGCCGTTGATGGGCTAACTATTGTTAAAATATTATTTTTTGGTATGAAAAGGATATTTTGTGCAGCTGGATAAACAAAAGAATTTGCTGGTCCTTTAGGGTGAAGAAAATTAATTTTTACTTCATCTCTAATTACATTCACTTCTTGTACAAATCCTAACCACCAATCGTTTTCATATGCACATGTTACATATCCTCTAATCTCATCGATTAACAGATCCTCAATCAAAGGATCTTCACGTGGATATACTATATTCTTCACAGTAAATGTCTGCGAATTGGAATATAGCTTAGTGTTGAGTTTAGTTAAGCCAATCGGAAACACTTCATGAATTTTTTGTGTCCCAGGTATTGAGATAGATTTACTAAGTCTCTCACTTAGCCTTATCTCTTCTTCATAATCTGGTATAGTGGCATAAGAAAAATTTATACCTTTTATATGTTCTTCCGCATATTTATAAAACTGTAAAGGTGTAATTTGATCAGTATAAGATCTTTGTAAGCTTGCCTTAGCAACTAACCCTTTTACTGTGCCGCCTATGCCGTCGCAGGCACTTTTACCATATGCCGTAGGAAAAAAATGCCATTCAGCTTGAACACCAAAATCGATTTCATGGTAGCAAACATTGATGAAGTTTTTCCTATTTTTATATTGCGCTGCTGAACCATCAGAAAAGTAGTGAATTTTTTTTGGTGGAGTGTCTAATTTATTTTTTAAAAAATGAATCAAACGCCATTGGAATAAGTGGAATGAAACAGTATTATGAATTAAGGATTCCGATATTACCACAAAACTTAGATTGTTTATTTGATCTCCTATTTTATAATAAATTAAGAATGGATGCAACGTAACTTGTGAAGTTGTCCAATGATAACCCTGAACTTCGTCTTGGACAATAAAGGAATAATTATCTGAAAAGTCACAAATAATTAGATAGTGATTATTTTCTAAACTATTTTTAAGGTTATTGTGAAATGAACTTTGTTGTTCACAAATAAATGAATGGCGTATGAGAATATTCATTTTATCGAAAAAATAATTAATAAATTCGTCTGAAGATTGAGAAATAGTCTCCAGAGTTGTTCTATCTACCGAAACTCACTGTTTAAAAGTAACAAGAGCTATATCATTTTTTATAAATAATTTTTCGATGCGTTTTTTGTGCCGAGCCAGGACATTCGTTGCAGTCACTAAAATAACAGGTGGGTAACGGGGGATTGCAAATCATTCTGCCTATAACATCTCTACAAGTTGTTAATGTATCCTCACCATTTTTAGTCAATGTTGCTAATTCACAGCCTAAAATCATAAGTTTAATATTCTGGTGTATGCTACAAACGCATTCACTATGTGTTCCGCTAGCCCCTGCTAATACAATTTTTTGGTCTTAAGCTAGCAAATTTCGAAAATCCTATTAAGTTTGAAATACTTGCCTTAAAATGACTATATAATTCTTTCAAATTATTAAGAACTAACCTTTTTTGAGCGTTCACTCGTTCCCCCTTTTCAATGATAGATATGCAATCTTTTTTTCCTGGTAATACCCTACTAACTTCATCACTGCAAAAAAATTTTTTTAACAATATCAACTGTTTATTGATTGAGATATTTTGCAGGCTTTCGATTTGGAGTTGAAAGAATCCCCTTTTTTTCCAAAATGATTTTGGAATTATATGCCATATGATATGTAGCGTTGAATATCGTTTTTATTTTATTAGCGCTCCAATTAGGAAGCAGAATGGTCAGCAATTGATATTTTTTATTTTTAGATAAATTGGGATATTGTAATTTCATGTTATTGAGTATATCATTATTATCGTTCTTATCCGAATCTGGATTGTTAATTATTATATCTGTAATCGTTTTTGTTATTTTTGTTGCCTTTTTTTTTGGATAATTTTTTTCGGTTAGTTTTTTTTTCTTAATAAGGGATATTCCTATTTCATTTAAAGTTATATTGATTTTATCTATTGATGTTGATGCTGTGCTGTTATTTACATATTCACCATATTTATATTTTCGATATTTTTTTGTGATAACCTTCTACGGCATTTATCACAAATGTTATGTTCTGCCTCAATGTTTGGATATTGTGTCATCCACGTCATGACTTTGCGCAGGTTCTTTTTATAATTAAAGTGTTTAGATTCTTTAAAAGGATTTACGCATTTATATTTATACATTATAGATAATTTTAAGAAGAAAAATAATTAATATCAAAATATTTGTAAAATAAAAATTAATTAATATTGTGCAGGTGCATGAAAATTAGCTTTTATCTTTCAACAATTAATTATTATATTTTCTTGTATGAGATATCGGAATCTTAACTCTCTTTTTAGGAAATTTAATCATTTATTATAAAAACTAATTTTTACAAGTTATCAAATAGCAATAATAATAAGTAGTGATCTGCATCGGGCCTAATTTTTCAAGCCTGGTCCGGCCCGAAATTTTTTTTAAAAAAGTTTTGCCGGCCCAGCCTGAACACGAAATTTTTTTAAAAAAAATTTACCCGGCCCGAATTTATTTAAATATAGGAATTAATTTTTATAATTACTCAAAATAAAAGACATATGTTATATGTCGTTAAGTTTCACTTTCAATAAATAAAATCAAATATTTTTATTTTACATTAAAAAATTAAATATAAAATTGATAAATTTATATATATTTAAAAAAGTTTCCAAAGTCCGACCCGACCCGGCCCGAATTTTTTTTAAAATATTAGGCCCGGCCCGAACCCGATTATTTTAAATAGAATTAGGCCCGAAGCCCATCCAGGTCGGGTACGGGTCGGGCCTAACTTTGCAGATCTCTAATAATAAGTAAGCCTATCAAACGATCTATATAATATTTTTTCTTGATAGTAATGCTGGAAAATCTTATTATTTATGTTTAAAAAAATTATTATTATAACAAAACACGTATTTTATAAAAAAGCACCATTTATTTTTTGATTTTTTAAATCGTAATAACCGAAAAATCCATAGCTGTCCCAAGTTTAAATTTTTTTATGAATAGATATAAGGTTAGAGAATAAGAAAATTTTGAATTTAAAAAAATTTGAAAAGCGAAACACCTGGAGTTTTTATGTTTAAAATTTATAACGTAAATAAAAACCGCAACAATATTATTTCAAAAAAATCCTTAATATTTAATAAAAGGCCTTTAATACAGTTACAAAATGACATATAACTTATATTTTTAAAATCATTATTTTTTAACTTATCTCAATTTCAAAAAATCGTATTTTTCGAAAAAAGGTCATTTTTGGCACTTTTGACCATTGATATCTCTGGAACTATGAGTACTAGGAAACTAAAATCTTGGATTCGATGCTTTCAGAATTCTCTCAGCATACAAAATTTTATCGAAATTAAAAAGGTCGAAGGTCGGGCCGAAAAGTTATCGATTTCGTATGGAATTACCCCACTGGCTTCCTCCAGGCCTATTTTTAAAAAAAAATCGGGTTCGGGTTGGGTCGGGTCTAATATTTTTTAAAAAATTTATGGGATCAACATTTATTAATTTTATGTTGAATTTTTTATGTAAAATGAAAATATTTAATTTTATTTATAGAAAACTATACGCCATATTAGTGTTGTTAAACGGCTCAATTTGAGACGATTTTTAAAACGGCTAACTCAATATTTTAGCCAGAAAAATATTATGCAGGCCTAAAGATTTTGCTCATAGATGGCATATAGGATTGAACATCTATTGGCGAGCTCTCGACGCATAGGCATTCCTGGTTATAATGTTGAGTTAGCCGTTTTTAAAAATCGGCTCAAATCGAGTCGTTTAACAACACTACGCCATACCATATATCTTTTATTTTGGGTATTTTAAAAAAATTTTATTTAAAAAAATTTAATTTCTATATTTAAATAAATTCGGGCCGGTCCTCCAAAACTTTCAAGTTCGGGTCGGGCCGGGAGTTGGTTTATAATGTTATAGCCCTGACTGACCTATATTCTCATTTACTTTCCAGATTTAATTTATTTATTCAACCCTATTTTACATTTAAATTCCATAATGTTTTTTTCCAATGAAGTTGAGTTAATTGAAACCTCTAGTAATAATAAAGCGACATATATAAAATAATTCTTGTAAGAAAATATGAATGAAGTAATAAAATATTTAATAAATCAATTTCATATTGTATAAATTTAATAGGCTTACTATCCTCTTCAACCAACAACCCAGCTAACCTTTTAAACCATAATAATAACCTCCCTTCTGGCTCCAACGCCAACAACTCAATGTTTCAACAAATTGGATCAGGAAGTAAAGGTGGTACAGGAGATAATTTTTTACTTTACCCTCCTCCACCCGAGCAGAATAACCAGGCTCCTCCAACTCCTTCAAATATGGCAGTATGTGGATCTACTATTTTGGATAATGGAGGCAATTTGGGTATAAAATATTTTTAAAGATTTGGGGAATTTTAAGGTCTCACCGGAATTAAAATAGAAAAATTGGCTTATTTGCAAATATTTAAAAGGTAATACTGAAAGAAAATTTACTTTGTTGGATGGTAGAGAAATAAAATTTTAAGGTTTGCCCTCAAATGGTTATAATATCTCATAAACTAATTCTAACCAACATATGAACTTAGAACATCCTATACAGATAGGAAATTTTTGAGTAATTTGTGTCACTTATTTAGTGTTCTTTAAACTTAAATATACTAATTAACTTTGTAAAATCGATAGACAAAAATTGATAACTGTCAGATAAAGGAGGTTTCAATGCTTATTTATTCTTTTCTTCTGTCAATGCCATCTTCGACTTACTTTCTCAAATCTCACCATTTCGTTTCAATATCCCTTTTTACATTAGACTCCATCATAAAACCTGTCTAGACGCCTCGTCTCATATACCTCTAAATTGTGCTGAACAAAGTTTGAATTAAGTTCTAAATAATATTTTATTATGCTAAAAAATGTTTGAATGGAGCAGTTTAACTCGAAAGAAGAGCAAATGCCATCTTAAATTTGTTACTATGGTCAGACATTTAATATAAATATGGCTACCATATCTCCTTCTCCATATATAAGAATTTTCTAGTTTTTAATATCATCTAAAAGTCGTTTTGCATACTTTCTCGGTGGCTTGATTATGGCAAAAGAAATCAAAGTCTATTATCAAATCAAAAAAGACTAGTAATTTGTTTTATTTAAAATAAATCGTTATTTAAATAATAATTTATAATCCTATTTTGCAGGTCCCAACTATTGAAAAAAATTGTAACTAAATTTCACTTTTAACTCCCCCAAAGCTTCTCGCAACGAAATGAACATTTACTACCTTTTAATGACATTATATTATGATATTTTATTTAACTTAAGAATTTCAAGAATTATATATGTAATATTTTTTTATTGGAACAAAAAAACGAACATAATCTAATAATTATATTTTGTATTTATTATTTACCGAATCCTGTTTTTTTAATGATATAATAAAAATGTTTGTATAATTTTTTTAAGATGTGCCATATTATCCTGTAATTAGTGACAGTGCGGGGGGGGGCAACTGTCTAAAATCTCTATAAGGATAGAAAATGATATACTATTTTCGATATTAAAGAGGCAAATTTTTTTTATAGTTTTGAGATATGAAATTTTTGATTTTAATTTTAAATATGTAGCTGGTTATTTTAATCATATATTAATGCAAATCTTAATTTATTGAATTCTCCTAAATGTTTATGATATAAAGAATTGTTTTAAAAGGTTTTACCTTAACTTGTAGATTTATCTATTTTTTATTCCACACATGTTTTTCCCCTTTTTAGTGCTCTCTTAGGTGAATTCTATAAATATTATTTTATTACAACAATTATTGTTCAATACTCTTATAAACGGTGACAAAAGAGGCTATTCTGATATTTTATTATTTTACAAATTCAAAAATTGGTAACTAAAAAATTTATTATTACATATTTAACAGCAAGGTAATTTTTTTATTTAACCTCAAAAGTTAAAAAAGAATTTAAGAAAAAAATAGAAATTGGGAATTCAATGGTATAATAAATTTTTAATGATTTATCTAACTTGTTAAAGTCCACTAAAGAAGCTATTTTAGAAGAAAATATATTATCGAATGATAATAATCATGATATTGATAAAAAAAAATGAAATTAATTAAATAATATTTTTTAAATAAAGTATATTACTTTAAGAGTAATGAAACCAAACTGATTAAATCTCGACTTCAAGGCACTATGAAAAACATTTTTCTAAATTATTTGAGAATTCTCTCAATTGAAGTAACATTATTTACAGAATTAGATATTGATCATGTTATAAGTATTAGAGGTGGGCGCGGGCCTAATTTTTCATTCACGGCCCGCCCGCTCACGGTGGCAATAATATCACGCCCATTCACGCTCATCACTAAAAAATTTTCGACCCGACCCGCCCGCTCACGACAAGCAATATTTTGATTCACGCCAGAAAATTCACGGTGTTCTTAAATTTTTCAAAACTATTGCTATAATTTTACACTTTTTTGAATTCATTCTATTTATTTCTCTAATTTCATAATCCATATTAATAACAAAAAATAAATACAATCTATAAATCGAAATTTATTTAGAAAAAAAAGAATGTCCATCTTTTTTTTATTTCAATTGTGTACGCCTTTCCTCTAATAAGAGATTGGCTACAGAAAATAATCTTTCACTAGAAGCCTAACTTGTCGGGGTTGACAAAATTACTCGCTAATTTTCTCAAAAAAGGAAATGAATATTCCTGCTTCCAAAACTTTAAAATATTGTCTTGTTATTTATCTTATATGAATCTTTTAAGTTCATCCTCACAGCTTCCATCGGCGATATTGATGCTTCATCAGAATTATCTAGAAATTCTCTAAGTTTTTTATTTAGAATATACGGTCTTTTATGAGCGTAGGATGAATTAGGAAAGTGATAGTTAGTATTGATCATTTAGAATATACGGTTTTTCGTGAGTTTAGGATAAGTTAGGAAAGTTATAAATGATAGTTGGCATTGACTTATGCATATCATCTAATTTTATATCATTTAGCATTTTTAAGATTGTTTTATATATATCGTTTTCTTCTTTTATTAAAAACTTAAGTCTTTTGAAATTCGGATCTAGAATTAAGCCTACCTTATGTAGTGGCTGCATAATAATCTTTTAAAAGAAATCTTGTTCTGTATTTTAAGGTTTTGATTATTATTGTAGCACGTTGAGAAGGTTAACAAAATTTTATTAATTTTTGTTTCCATAGACAAATTTCATTTACTGTGGGACGGGAATCTGCTCTCAGATTATCCGAGCATTCTTCTCGTTATTCTCGCTATTACATCTTGTTTAAGGGTGTGGCAGTTTGCTATTAGCTGTAGATTGTTCGAAATATTGTAATATTTTTTTACACCATTTATATTTAAGGATATTTCAGTTAAACAATTGTCAAAAATATAATGCAAAATATTATTAAGTATAAGACATATACATGCTAGCGTTTCATCATCTTTGAATGCACTTATAAGATTTGCTCATCACTCACAACTATACATTTATTTAAGTAATTTTATACTTCTGTATATTCTCCTAAAATTGAATTGATTACACTTATAATTTTGACGTTTTCTTCATCCATTGCCTTGGCCAAAACAAATGTTTTTAATTAAAATTCTGATAATAAGTCCTAAAATGGTTAAAAAACTTAGATTTTTATAGTCCATCAGTGATTATCGACAAGTAATTATTATTGATCATGCTTTTAATCTTAATTTTATTTCATGGTATATTTTTGGACCTATAGTATTCATGAGATTTTTATAGTTCACAACTTTTTTATTTTGTTATCCATATGTAACACCAACATTTATCTCTTGGCCTAGCATTAAAATCCTTCACTTTCTGTTGCATGATCTTTACAAATAAAATATAACTGACTTTTCTGTAAAAAGTTTAAGCAAAATTTAGCATAAAACACCTAAACATAAAAAGAAAATAGAACTAACGAAATGATACCGGATGTTGTTTATAAAATGCGGAAGATTTTTAGTTTATAAATTATTCTTTTTTTAAAAAGAACTAAATTAAATAAGAAAATATATAATATAATTATAAAATTGCAAATTTATATTTATAAAAAACAATTTTAAAATTTCCATGATTCACCGGAAATTTATGTTCACGCCCGGGGAAAATTTTGGGAAGGCCCGCCTTGGAATTTAAAATTTATTCACACTCACGCCGCGTAATTTCACGGCCCGCGCCCACCTCTAATAAGTATGTTTGCAATTTCTTCCATTAATTTATCAAAATGATTAATTTATTATATTTGTTAAAGAAAATTTTAATTTACTTTAAAAATATTTATAGATATACTATTTTAAGGTTACCTCAAACTCAAAAAAATAATAATGGTGTATGCATTTTACATTGTTTGTACAATGGCAAGGTAAGGCTAAAATTTGCATATTCCATGAGGATATGTGGCTTCATAGGCTATGAGGGGTTTAGGAGTTACTGATCTGTCGAATCCTATGAAGAGTTATCAATTTGATTTCACTAGAGTTTTTTTCAGCAAAAAAAATCGGCTCTCAAAATTCCGTATTTTCTTGGGGCCTCGTGGGCCCTTTGCCCACTTGTCTTTATGGGCATCCCGCTCCTGTTACATGACCCTTTAGCAACACAAGTGATTATAATAATTTAATAATTGTATTTGTTCTCTTTTTGTAACGCTCAATGAAATAAATTAAAATTCTTCCATTTTACATTTTATTCAAGTAGGTCATTACATATTTTTTTGGATATAGTTAAAAATTGCAAATAAATAAAATTATATATAAATAAATTTAAGATACTTTGTAATTTATTTCATGATACAGTATTAATATCTTCAGAAGATGCATCGATAAAAAGATGTAAAATATCGGAATCTATTACAAACGGTTCTTTATTCTATTTTTATTTAAATATTAAAATCATTTATTAAAACTATTATATATAATGTCTATAAAAATGTTAAAAAAATATTTAAGAAAAACATAATTGAGTTCCTAAAAAGGAATAATAGTTAATTTGAAAATATTTGTATGTAGGTCCATTGGTTCAGGTTTCTGATTTGATTCTGTGAGTTAAGTTTATTAAAAAAGCTAAAAATGAAAGGAGCGAATCCGTTGGTAGACCTTGCTATTGGTGAGAATATAAATTACTTAAGCTTTTGTATTTTTTTATTCTCTGTCTGAGTAAGCAGTTTGCTATTAATATTAGTGGGAAAGGATGAGACATGTATTATCCCAAATAAGGGATTTAACTAGGGGATAGTTGTCAGGCTATTGGGTTGAGAGGTTACAACGTTCTAGAATATTCGGTATACGAGGCTTTTTTAATAGGAGGTTTAATAATTTGTTTATTAATATTGTTCCTCTTTAGGAGCTCAATTATGTTTTTCTTAAAATTAAATTTTTTTTAAACATTCTTTATTCTATTGTAACCAATAATAAATGACCATCATATTTTATTAAAATTTTACTTAATTTATTGTATAAATGTAAAAACCTAACTAAACCACTGTTTCTTTGTGGGTTTTGTCTTCATTATTGTCTTTCGAAATTAAAATTCGGCATTTCTTCTTTTTTGTTAACATATGATGAATATTATCCTTGGTCAGGAAACTTTGGTAAATGATACCAGGGTATTGGGGTGTATATTTATTATGTGGTTCATTCAAGCCTACCGCAAAAAGGCAGTTGGAAACCGAGTAAAATTTAGATATCATGGTGGGTTCATTTTTTAGATCTTTTCTCCCAAATTTTCTATTTAAAAGGTAATGATGATCTTCACTAAATTTTTCGAAAATTTTGTTTTTAAAAATATCACTTTTATTGTCTAACAGTTCCACGTTGTCTACATCCTTTACTTCTACTTCCTTTTTTGTTTGATTTTGAATGATATTTTTATTAACATTGATATGCATGTTATTATGTTTTAGATTTATATTTCTTTGATATTTACATATACATGTATGATTTGGTTTAGAACAACTTTCTATATTCAATTTTAAGCTTTTATCATAGAGACTAATTGCATTGTTAGGTATATCTTTAGTTAACTTTAATTTCTCTGCAGCTAAAAGTTTTCTCACATCGGGCATAAATCTCAGCACGAATTCCTCGGGGTCACACGCTGGAGATGCTTCATGTTTTATAGACTCCTTTTTATTATGATAGTGTCGTAGAGAGAAATTATTGTTTAAGCGTCTGTATTCACCTTGATAAAACAATAAACATATTGATAGCATCTTTTCTACCTCCAAATTTCAAATTCTGAGATAATATTAGTTAAATTAAACATGAAAAATAAAAAAATAGTTGAACCATTTTTACTAAATAAAGTTCCTATGCAATCTTGAAAGATTCATGAAAAAATTAAAAATGGAGTTTGGAGCTTACAGTCTATTGAGGATGTATTTAAAATGAGAATAAATTCATTTTCGCATAAATTTTATAGGGTCCAAAAGAGATAAAAGAATATTGATAAGAAGATTTAAAACATAATGAATTATGATAAAAAAAACTAATCAACTTCTCTTATGATTTTGTTGGGGTACTAACTCCTTTGTTAAAGGTACAGAAGGCTCTTGAAAAAATAGGTTAAACATCAAGGGTCTTAGTGTTTTTGGTTCTTTAATTTCGCAATGTCTTGAAATGGAGATTGCCTCCACACTCATTACGGAATCGAACGTATTTTTGTATCTCTGATTTATTTAACAAGAATTATCACATGGATTTTTTTTTAAACATGACTCATATTTTATATATGTTGTTAAATAATACATTCTTCATAATAAATTTTTTTTTATAAATATTATTTCCCTCAGCCTTGCTCAGGGGAAATTTAAGATCAGACAATAGGCCGAGCAAGGGGCTTATAATATGTTTTTTGTTCTGACTGACCAATTTAAATTCTATAACAGATGGAAGTTGAGTTTCCAGCCTATAGTATAATTCACGAATAAAATGTAAATCATGGCGGAAACTAATGTTTTTTTTAATATTATACAACTTATATTAAATTAAAAAATTCTAAACCTGAGTCATGGTCATATCTTTAGTAGGATACACCCGAATTATAAAGCCAGACATCACCGAAATGATTGGCATGAATGCTAAAAACCAACCTAGACCAGTGGCCCATTTGGGATAATTGTATATATCATCGTATCGTATGGGGGTATGTTTTGCAACGTGGAAAAACATAATAATCTATAATGATGATAAACAGTTAAATGATTAATTTTCATGGATTTTAGAACGCCTCTGCTTAAGCGATCTGTAATTATTTAAATCTCGTTTATTGAAATAATACATCAATTATATGTTTTTCTAGATTAAAATAAACAATTCATAAATATAATAATATATCAATTTTAATATTTTTCATAAACTAAAAAATATAAAGTTTATTTTATTGTCCCCATGAGTGTTCCGCTTTTGCTATTTTTTCCTTTAAGTCACTATAAAATATTAGAAGTTTGCAAAACCGGCTCGAAGGCCCTTACTTTTACGAAATTTTCTATTTTTCACTTACACTTCTACTTCCAATTAAAGTTGCGCACAAACTCATGACGCATCTGGAGGGACAATAACGAAAAATGTTACATATAGTTCAAAATATCCCATATTACACCATTTTAGAAACAATTTTTATTATGTAAACATAATTTCTAATATATAACATATTTTCCTCTTTTTAAAATGAAGCCTAATTTTCTTTTCATGTGAAGAAAGGGTAAAAGTTTTATCAGTGGTTAACAAACATAATTATCGGTGATCCCTTATTCCGTTTAAATGATCCAGGGAAGACCTTGTTTTTTAAAAAACTCATATTGTTAATCAGCAGCCACCTTTAAAAATGTACGGATCCATTATAAAAAATTTTTTAACAATAAATTGAGGTGGGGGGGGGGGTTCGTAGACTATTATATTCTTCTAAGTAAATAATTTTATGTGATTGGTGATCAAATTATTACTCTTCTGTTAACTTTATTTACACAAGTTGAGTATTTAAGAAAAATAAATTTAAACTTACAATAATTATCACTGGAGCAGAATACCAACACATGATAATGTACAACGAAGGCTTGTGATGCGTAAAAACTTGAAGTAAATAGGAGAATTTGGACACTCCTTATAATACATAAACATATAATGTAATTTATAAAACATTTTATTTGTCAATTATATTTAGACATGAATATTTAACAATTAGTGGGGAATGATATTACATATAGACATGAAAGGATTTAATATTATAATTTTTATTTGACAATAGCAAATTTTCAAAAATATATAAAATATATTTCCGACTAATTATACCTCATTCGCTAAAAATAAAATATTCAATTATTTAGAAAAGGGATTTTTTTATCTTAGTTTATATGCATAGACATATAATATATAATGTATATAGACAGCTTATCGAGCCAAATTATAAAACAAAAACGGTCTTTCATCTTTGATTTCACAATACTTAACATAAGAGAGAATCCAGTGACCCCTATGCTTTCTAGGTGATAGAAACAGGATACCTCCCCCTCCTTGAAAAATACCCCCCTTAAAAAAGTCAATATTTTTGATTCCCAAACCTCAATTATAAATTACGATAATTTTTATTGCATCAATTTTTAATATACAATATAATTAAAATGTAAAAAAATACATACCTAAAATATTTCTTTTAAAATAAATAATTTAGATAGGGGGAAGAGAAAGCGAAAGAGATTCGTCAATATTTAATTGTTTAAATAGATTTTATTCCATTAATAAAATGTTTAAATTATCTAGAAAATGGTACTATGAAGTCTTGTTTTAATTAGTTTAATTTTATTCATGGCCCTTACGGCAGTCACGAGGTAGTAGGAATAGTTAATATTTATATGAAATTGATAAATTAAGGAAAGCAGAAAAATTTGAAAGTAAACGAAAGGTATAATAGACGAATAGTTTCTCTAGTTTGAATCAAAGTTTTAACATTATCATCAGACGAAGAAGGAGCTAAATAATGTATTATAATTATTTTAATAATAAATTTACAATTCTCATAGTTTGACAAGTCTTTAGATTCTTTAACCTCTAAATGTAATAATTACATTCTCCTTTTTAGCCATCATAAAAATATTTTGAAACTTAAACATAACTTCAAAAATTTGATTCGAATTCAAATGGTAAAATCAGATATCCTAGATATCATCTCTAACAAATGTCTTTTTCACCATTCCCTTTGGTGTAAAAAATTATGTTTGATTTAAATATTTCATCGGTTCATCTTTTAAAAATAAATAATATATTTAATAATGAAATTAAATATATAGATATACCTTTCCTTTCTCGATTATAATGTTTCAAGACTTGAACTTTCAAAATCAAAAGGTAGATTTCTCTCCTTCATTAAATGCCTTTGAAAAAACATTTAAAAAATCAGTGTCATTATTTAATAAGATTAGATGATACATTAAATTCTCAAATTAATCAGGCAATCTTTTCCCAATTTAATTTAGATTATTGCAAACCCTATTCGACATGGTTTGTAATTTTGTACAAGCCAAGTGTTATCAACAATATTTTATTCAAAACACAAAGTGATAAAATAAAATTTTCTATTCTAAAAACTATGGCATTAGCCATGATAGAAGTAGGAGGTATTCAGAATCCTTTTAATTTGTTGAAGCTGACCTCAAATCATCATGAATTATAGAAAAAAAGCTATATATTACAATAACCAGCTTCTATTAATATAAAATAAACATTAAGATAATATTACCGAGTGATATTCATGATGCGTGAAAATCGTTGCGAGCACTGCATATCTTTTAATAACATTGAGCTAAAACATTTCTTAGTTCTTATCAATTGGCATAATTGAACAATTATTAAATTTAATCGATGACAATAGCATCAAATTAAAGCTGTCTTTGAGGCTTCAACTCTAATCAAAGCTTATAATCTATTGATTCTTTCACTCAAGTTTGAAGCACAATCATAGCTTTGCCCAACTAAGAATTCAAGGGGTAGATTCATGGAACCAAATTTGCAATATATTTTTAATATCAAGCCCAGTAGTGTTACCCGTACATTATATATCAATTTTTCAACCGGCTTAGGCGTTTACCATTTTCAATATAACTTATTATCAAAGTTATGGCTTCTAATTTCGAAACATCACATGTATCATCAATAATTGAAAAACTTCTGCTAGATTCAATTTCCTTATAAATTTTTTATAACCATATTTTTCATGGTATTTAATTTATATTATTATACGATAAAAAATTGGAATATCGTTTGGATTTTAATCCATTTTGTTTTATAACCCTTCTTTTTTATTCATTTTTTTTGTATCAATAATTTGAGAACATTGTAAAATAATTTTTTTTTAAGGAGTATATCTACAAATTTTAAAAAGCAGTTGCTTCGTACCCCACCTTTGTAGTGGCCTCTGAATAAATCAATATATAGGTTTAAATAGGGATAAATAATATGATTGTCATGTTCTTATATTCGATTTATTATTAAATTAGGTTAGTGAATATTTTTTTAATCACTTATAATTTAGTGTTTAAATTTTTTTTAGTTTGATTTAAATTTTTTTTACGATATTTATATACATGAATAAATTATTTACGGGAATATTATATATTATTCATCAACAAGCAAATTTAAGGTACTGAAAAATTAGTTTAAAGCTTATCAATTATTAAACTTAAAAATGGGATTTTCAATAAAGATATTATCCTAATTTTATGGTTATTATTTGTCTCGGATTAATAAATAATATTTTATATAAAAATTGAATATAAAATTATTTTTTAAATAATATTTAATAAATGATCATTTATCTACCAAGTTGGCGTGATTTCATTTTTTATTATAGTTGTATAAATTTAGAATTATAGTAATAGATAGATATGCTTTAAGCTTGTATTTTTAAATGATATTCATATATGCTATGCCCAAGATTGGAGGAAATAAATTTTAAAAGTTTTAATGAAAATAAATAAGTATTTTATCGAAAAATAATAACATATTTAGAGAAATTTTAAAAGTTTCTAAATTTAACATGATTTTGTTAAAATTTGTAAAAGTATTGTTCCCAATTTTTAAAAATAAGTTTAGGATATAGCCTTAAACGCTTCTTCGTAAATGTATCAAAATACATAGATTTTGTACATAATTTACTTGAAAATAACAATCATCTATGATGGGCACTTTTTATCGTAATGTTTACGAGTAAGCAGTCTAACGTGTCAAGATTTGGAAGACTAAGATAAAAATCATGCACTAAAAAATTTTCAACTCGCAAAGGGTTCTAACTTCACTTTTAACTTGAAAAATTAAATTTTTATAGCATTGTCTGCACTAGAGGTCTGCAATAGGCGGGTTAATAGCCCACAAGCCCACCCATCCAATATTTAAAAAAAATTTAACCTGCCATTTAATCCAAAAATTTTTGCCCGCCCACCCTTTAGTCTAAAATTATTTACCCACCCACCCATTATTTATAAAAAAAATAACCCACGCGGCCATATAAAATTTAAATAAGCACATTCTTTCAATTTTTTAAGCATCTAATAAAAAAATGATTTAGTTTCAGCGATGCATCCCTACAAATAAGTTTTCTAATTTAGGAAATTGTTATATTAAGCATAAAAAAATATTCAATTTAAACGGATAAGGAATTTATTTGATCTGATAAAATATTTATGTAATAATTAATATTTATTGATACTAAAAACTTTCCAGCAATGCTAATTCCTCGTTCAGAAGAAGTACAGGGTGCTGAAATTGACAATATTTTTCTAGATATTCTTGATAGCCCTGATAAACTTTTTTCTTATCGGTTCCATCAAAGCAGGATTACCGTTTGATGTATATCCTCTATTCAAGTGAGATTATACAAAAACTTGTTACTTTAAGATTTAAATATTTTGTTATGTAATTAAATAATGCTCTCCTCTGTAACAACTACATCTTCCCCTCTGTTGTTTAATTTTGAAGTGGATGCTATCTATTTCAAACATTGCATATATAATTTTATAATCTTTAATTGAATCATCTTTGTTTTTGGGGAAACTGGTAAAATCAAATTTTTATCCACGTCTATGTTATATTCTTCCCATGCTAATCAAATTCAACAAGTTTTGGATATATTTTTTACCTGATCAATTTCTTCCGGCAACAACATTCTCAGTTATTAGTACTTTGGTATTAAAAATGTTGAAATTTTAGAGAGTATATTTTTTTTTAATGTTTACTTAAATGATTTTAAACAACAAATAAAAGTTATAAATAACCCGCCCACCCATAGTTTAAATATTTTTCTTAACTCGCCCACTCATCCGTTCTTTAAAAATTTTAATACAGACCTCTTATCTGAACTACGAACCGTTCTTATCTGAATTTTTAAAATTTTCCAACAACTTACAATTTAAATAAACAATTGAAAAGTATTTTTTTTAATTTATTATGAAAATTTATTAATAAATTAAAATTCTTAAATTAATTTATCTCGCCTGATCAATTTAAAAAGTCAGATATGAGGGTTTGTAGTGTTGCCGACAATATGCTTTTTGTGCAATGATTAATAGTCTTTCTAGTGTTAACTAAATGGCATAATATTTTTAATAACTCTTCCGTAAAGATCTAACCGGAGCTAGAATTTTAACGTATAATCAAAAGATAATATGTAAAATAACGAATCTAATAATTTGGTTTTCGTAATTTAATGCTTTTAAATGGAAATAATATATTATGTAAAGAACTCACCAAAAAATAAAACTATCATTATGACTTCGAAAAATGCCACGTGTAAAAAGGATATTCCAACGACGAAATAATCGATTAGATGTAGGTATAATATACCCTTCTATTATTTATTTATAAAAGAAGGTTTTAATGTCATAATTTCTTATATGTAACAGGAACTTCTACACCCCCCCCCCTCCCTCGAGCCAATGATATATTACCCCTTACCCCTATCCTACCCTCTACCAAATCAAAATAAATAGAAATCGAATATTTATTTAGCAAATAAAAAGAAATCCAAATACATTAGTGTCTCCTCCTTCCACTCCTTCAATTAAAATAATAATCTTGCATCTTAACCCTCCCCTTCTCCATAGTTAAAATTTCTGTTACATGTATGTCTGTATGTTTTCATTATATTGTAAATGATCAATTATAGAAAACTTATAAATCAGAATGAAAAAAAATGTAATTAAATCTATCCCTTTTCTTAATTCCTTTAAAATACATTTAGATTTTTGGTTTTATACCCTGGCCAAAAATACGAGTCCTATTAGGTATGATATAATACAAGCTATCAACACTAGAGATTGACGTCCAGGCAAATATTTATCAAATAATTTGACATCGTAAAAACTTGTTACAACCACTTCAACCATAGCGAACTTAGTATATAAATGAAATAAAGAATTTAATCGATTTAGTCAGTATTTCAACATATTTTTCTTTAGAATATTAATAGAATATAAATCAGGAATAATTATTAATATTCCTAATAAGTTGAATATAATTATATGCCTATATTAAAATTAAATCAATCTTTAAGTGTGAAGCTTTATAAATTTTAGAATATATTATATAATAATACCTCTATTTTATTTATTACTCCCATCAAATAGAAATTAGAGTAAGTCGCGTTAAAAACAGTTACATATATATTATTTAGATACTCCTGGGAATCAAAAAAAAGTATTACTTTACCAAGATGGTCAACGTAGAACTTGATCACATTTGGAGGTTTTAGTATAATTATTTTATAAAATAGTAATATTCATATATAATGTTAATCAATGACTCACTTAGGTGTCAACGTTATTTATTTTGCTAACCTGTCTATCTAATCCTAAACATATCATCATGAGGAAATACAGGAAGGCCCATATTTGCGTGTAGGGCAAAGTTAAAAATACTTGAGGATAAACCACGAACACCAGCCCTGGCCCTAATTACAATTTAAATATATTCGTAAAATCTTTATCCAAATAATGTTTAAAAAAATCAGTGAATTAGTAAGGAAAATGATTATATATCCTTCTTCATTCTTTATATTTCATTTTTTTGTATGAAGGAATATTTTAGATAATCAATCACTTAGCTATCATTTGAGAGTTTTAGTTATTAATAAAATTTTGAAAGGGCAACATTTTTTCTCCCTTAAAAATATCTGATATAGTCTTATTAAATAAATTAACAACTTCTAGTTATAAATTTGGATTACAAATTTAATTAATAATTTTAATGATAGAAAATTTTGGTAGATATAATTAGTCATTACGGTGTTTTTAATATGAAATCAATATATTAAGTAAAAATTTGGGAAGCGCAGACATAATTTTAACTTTTTTATAAAAATTTAAACATATTTATTATGTTAAATAATACTGTACTTCGACAATCTTAATCAGCGTCAACTTTTTAAAAACCAGATTACAGGTGGCGTATCGATTTTAAGCGGAAATCACAAATATTTTAAAAACAATTAAATCAACACTGAAAATGAATGATTATTGCATTCAACATCATTATCTTTATCGATTGCTTTTTGCAGACATAATTATAAAAATAGCCGAGGAAACTATATTATAAAACTTCCAAAGTATAATCATCTCGATAAAATGAGATTTTTTAGCTCCCTAACATCTAAATCAATTATGAACTGATCAGCAATGTAGGAATTAACCTTATAAATGTTTCACTACATGTAGTAAATTTTAACCTTGAGTGATGGCCTCCTCTATATCGTGATTGTTTATGTAAGCTATGTGCCCGATTACGCAATAAGTAGTAATCATGACGATGATAGAGATAAGGGAGCTTGATAATGACATTACTATCGAATCTCTTCATAATTATATTATTTAAATTCATAATAAAATGAAATATAATATCTTACTTTTATATTTGAAAAGTAATGCAAATTATATTTTGATTGGAACTTTATGGCTATCCTCAATTATAACGGAAGCATTCCTTTGAAACCCTAATTATAAATATTTGGCAAAGAGAATTATAGGCTTTTAAAACTTGGGGAATGAAAAAATCTTTTTAAATAGTATGGCATTTCTCAATTTTTATAAAAAAATTTCTAAATTTTGGAATTTCCGTCCCCTTTTAAAATCAATAAAAAGGTTAATAAAAGTTATCTTTTTTTCTTAAGATTTTTTTTCTCTAATGATATCTAAAATTTGGTTCCCCAACAATATTCTTGATATGCTACAAACTAACTTTAGCAAATTTATTACTTTAATTACCTAAAAATATTATTGTTTTCATCATTGTAACTGGCCAAAGCTATTAATGACCCGAAAGAAATACCGAGTGAATAAAAACTCTGAGTTGCGCCAAGAATCCAAATCTTAAATTATAAAATTAGGTTAAATAACCAGTTAAATTATATGAATATAATATATTGAAAGGGAAGTTATTTAATTAATCTTTTATGTATAGTTTGAAAATAGGGGTATGAACATAATATGTAGGCATAGGAGCCAAGAGGGAGGGCGTGGAAACCCACTTCCCTCGGAAATTCATTTGATTTTGTAAATATCATTTTAAGCCAATAAAAATTAGTTATATAGAATATGTTACTACGAAAATTGACACAAGTAGGTATAATTTAATAAATGTTTAAAATAATGACTATAAATCAAAATTTTCAAAAAAAGCCTTTTAATTAAAAAATGAACACATAAATTATTTCTTTGTAAGTGCAACCTGGACAATATTTTTAATTTTTGGAAGGTAATTACGCCAGGCATAAGCAAAATTTAAAAGTGCAATATAATATAAAGAATGAAAAAAATACATAAAGTTTCCATGATAAATTTGTAAAATGCATTAAAATATTTAAATGTATATGGAGACCTATGTCGATTAATATTTTTAAGTTGCAATTATTTCTTATTTTAATCAATGTTATATCGAATATGTTATATTAAAGGATAAATGCCCACTAATTTTGATATAAAACGCAATCTAATTTGAATACATAACAGATTTTTTATTTTTTAAATCAACATGTTATTTATTACGACACATTATTACCTCCGGCACTAAGAGTTTGCTCAGATCTGGCTTGATTAAGTAATTCATCCCTAAATAGGCCCCAGGTAGCATTGCTGATTTGATAAGTAATATTATAACCACGAGAAAAGGCACTGTCGCAGTTAGATAAAACGCCTGAATTAGGGTTAAATAAATAAAATTTAAATAATAGAATTTTATCTTTTAAATTATTATTTCAAACTTGTAAAATTAAGGTATCATTTGAAACCAATAAAGTATATCATTTCACTTTCAAACTTTTAAAATTAGCAAAAATACTTGACATGATAAATCATTTTAAACTTTAAAAATAAAAAATCATCATATAGATTCTACGAGTATCATTTCAAACTTGAAAATTATGAGAATTTTTTTTAAAATATTTGTCATAAGATTGATATCATATTATATGGTAAAATGTTATTTCATAATTTGTTAAAATTAAAGGTAACAAATGATTAATATTCCCATTTGAGTGGTTAACACTATAGCCTATTCACAATCATAAATAGCTTAAATCATCCAAATCTTTTAAAGACCCAAAATCTTTGTAGTTTAAATACTACATGCTTCTTTTCATTTATAGTTCAAACAGAAATCTTAACCCGTAAATTTTGTTAGCAGACTTCTAATATGTTTACAGACCGAGTGATGGCTATCTTTACTATTCTTCACCATAGAGATAATAAGCGATGACAAAAGAGAGGAGCAAAACTAAGTTAGGTTTGAGAGTTGATCAAAAATATCTTAAATCCTGTATCGCTATGAATAAACAGTAAGATTCATATGACCTGACTTCTTCTAACTAATTTTTAATAAGGTGCTCAATTTAATATCTTAAAGAGCTAACCCCTCCCAATTTAGTAGATTATATTGACATATACCATTTGTGTAGCCTGGTGGTACAACTTTACTTGGAATGCAATAATTATTTATGCAATGTTCGAATATGGCTCACCATTCTTGCTAACATTTTGGTGCAGAAACAAGTTTATAGTAAGATACTTTCAAAATTTTACTATTAAAAATTTATTCCTCAATAAAACAATTTATTCTTTTATATTTTTGATAAATAAGAGTCCTCAAAGTATAGGACATGTAATGTAAACCGTGTAAATACTTTTTATATATTCTTCAAAAATATTTTTTGTAAATTGTATACTTTTCCTATGCTTTTAACGCCTCTCCGTATCCCAAAGAAAACAATGACCCAAGCCAAGAAGAGTAATATTGCCAATTCCCATTGAATATACTTGTATTTATCATTATCGTTCGTTACGGCTAATACTCGCTTTCTTGAATTATATTGTTAGGTTTAATCATATTAAATTTAATTAATTTAAAGTAATAATAAAGCCAACATCTAAAGCGATTGAATTTAAAACAATGTATATTATTGAGTTAAATTATTTTAAGAATTATTTATATTTAAATAATATATCTCAAATTTTATTACTCAAAAAATTCTTGGGTTGAAGGCACAGTCATGTTCAATCGTTCGTATTTTGCATTAGGTACGCTAAGGTCTAATGAATAACAACTTTTGGTATTCCATCTAACATTATGTATATAATATCAATAATATTAAGATTTTATGAAAGACATGTCCCAACAAAAGAATTATAGATCCCACCCTAAATAAGAAGTTAAATATATATAATCAAAATATAGTCTATAATTTAGCAAAACAAAAACCTAACTCTAACCTAAATCCTAAATAAAATTTACTTGATATTTGAGACAGATCTCACTAAAAATATTGAAATTGGCATATGTTAATATTTAATTTTAATATATTTAAGAATATATTATTTATTCTATTATATATGATCCGATTTGTAGCCTCTATTCTTTTTTATATGATAAATTAGATCAGTCCATTTTTAAATTGAAAATACAATTTTTATTTTTTATACCAATATTTTTTTTAAAATGATCACCCTTTTCCTAAATTCTATTTCTATATTTTTCGCCTTTATTAATTTCATCTTAGTAGAAAATAATTATACTCTTTTTGATAATACATTACATTAGTTATCATTAATGAACAGTAAAAAAATATTTTAAATCAATCCCGGATTATCACTGATTCATTTTATCCAAAAATTATAATTCACATTTCTATGTTATAATAATTAAAAATTGATATAATGTATAATGATAATTTAGATTTTCGTAAATATAATGGTGTGGATTCGTATTCGAGCATGATTTATATTAATTAACTTACAAACAAGATTTACATATAAACTTTAAAAATATTTCATGACAAAATTACCTGACATTCAGAGGCTGGGCAAAGCGAGGTAATTTATAAAAAAAATCGAACCAGGCCAGACAATGCAGGGCCTCGCAAATCTCTGATTTTTGTAAAATTTTAATATACCAGCCCAGGTAAAAACCTTGAGAATTTTTTTTAATAATGCAATAGTACCTTCCATTCGATTGTGGCCAGCCCATCGAATCGAAGATCCACCCTCCCGTGCACTGCAAGTTCTCTCGCTGATGACAAAACCTCATCATAAATCTATCAATAACATTCTCCTATCTGCTCTCAAAAATGTTAATATCCCATCCCCCCTCGAACCAGTGGACCTTTCAAATGCCATCGCCATATGCTCTGATAATTTATCACTCAATACCTGGACTAACGGTCTTCCGCTGATTTAGGACTATACTTATGTTTATTTTGCAGCATCTCTCATAGTCTTCCATCGAAATGGTTGAAGTCCTTAAAAAAACAAATAGGCTCGCTTCACCAACACACCAACACAGTGGTCATACCAATCGTTACCAATACCTTAGGCATGTTCGGAAGTGAGGCTCTCAATTTCATTAATAGGAAAAAAGACAGATCACAGGGGATCCCAACGAAGGATTTTACCTTAGTCAGCATATTTCTCTCGAAATCTGCGGATCTAATTTTTTAAGCATTCACTTTTCTCTAGGGTGATATGTACCTTTTTTAATAATTTTTTATAGTTCTTTTTAATGTTTCTCTATATAAAATATATATTTTTAAAAATTTGATATTGTTCGTATCTGTATTTAATTTTTAAATTGAAACCGCATTTTTTTAAATAAAAAATTTGCTACCAGTTTTTGATTTTTGCTATTAGAAAATATATTAAAAAGCCCATTTCTTTGTATTTAAAGAGCATCTATAAATGATATAGTAAATTAACAAATTGAACAAGTTATTAATGATATGATCCAATTGCAAAATACAGATATCAATTTATAAAACGGTTGTAAAAATAGATAGTCCTAGAGGAGAGGTGTAAGAACCATATTGACATCGGGAAAAAATTAGATATTTATATATAGATATTAAAAATCTGATGACTTCGCAAAAAAATATTTAATAAACTTTGTAAAATTTTAACAGGTCGGGCTTGATTTCTTGTAAAATTTTAGCAGGCCAGACCAAGCCGGGAAAAAATATATAGGAATAGACCATACAAGTTTTTCAAAAATGTTAAGGCGCTAAAATGGGTATCTTTACTCTATATACTGGAAAATTCTGACAAAATTAAGTCGAAAATTTAAAAAAACGTTCAATTTAAAGTATATAAATTTTAAAAATTTCCCAAAAGCCCGCGTCAATGAAGCTAAACACCTATGAAATATATAATTAATTATGTTTATAATAGTGAATATTATATAATACCTTATATATTCATAAATCTTATCATAACATTTACTAGGCATAATAATTTGGTGTTCTCGTCACTGCACACAATTTAGTGTATATATTTCCCATAATTCCAGATGATGTTAATCAACATTTTAGGTTAAAATAGTTCATAAATATTCTTAAGGCTGCATTTTTTAGTTTTTTGCATATTTAAAATAACCATTCCCATAACCTTTAATCTTTTTAACCAAATACAGATATTCAAAATTATTCAAAATTACCTAGTTATTTGATAATTTTTAAAAGAACATCAATGTGTCCCAAAATTTCCAAGTTTCCAAAATGTCAGTAATAAAATGGTAAAGATGCATTGCAGTTGCACCATTTTTATATGGCTTTTAAAACATTACCGGAATGAATACTATAAGCCAAGCATAAAAGAAGTCTTTTTTTATAGAAGCTTTATTAGTAAATTTCCTCATCAAATATTGTCAAGACATATGGATAACATATGCTTAAAAGCTATCCTTGATTTTATTCTAAAATACTTTATTGATGACTATTAATTCATTCTTAGAAATTAAATTATATAATTGTCCAGAAAACCAGAATAAAAAATTATAACTATCAACAAATTATACTCCCTTGAAACCGCTAATGCTAGAAGTGTCGCTATTTAGAAGAAAATGGTCCATTTCGACGTCATGAGATGTTTATGGAGCTAATTATTATTTTAAAAAGCAAAACAATGTTATCTATAAAATGGATGCCACCTGAAGATTTAGATGGACTGGTTTGAATCCCCATTTGCCAGGCCTTTGGCCGGGCCTCGTCTAAAATTCTTATAATGTATTTTTTTATTTTTCCAAGATTACTGATATTTTGATTTTCAAAAAATGTAATATCTTTATATAATTTCTATCTAACTTAACAATGAGAACTAATTCTTATATATATAACAATGTTTCATCTTTATTTGTGCCTATGACTGTTATAACTAATATAGAAGACAGTATAAAGAAAAAAATTATTAGCAACATAATTTTGAAAGGCAAATAAAAGGCCGTTTGAGCGTAAAGTGAGCCACGCTCTTGGAAAAACTCTTTCTGACACTTACACCAAACCAATAAGTAGTACTTAATTAGTATATGCATTTTATGCTTTGATCTACTGGTGATTTTAAAGAGAAAAATAATTAATGGTAAAATATGAAAATATATCAAAATAATTGGCCTGGATTGCGTTACTATTTAGTGCCCATCAATAAATCTTATTAACGATAAAACAGAATTATAATAATAAAACCTATGATATTATGCTTTAAGTGTGAAGTCAGCCAAACTTGTGAGAGCATTAACTCTAAGGCAAATAGTTATGATCTCATTATATAAATTTAAACCTATTGATATAGTCCTAATTATGACGTTCAAGCTTTGCACTTATGTAAAACTTTACAAGTATATAAATTTTAGTTTATTGCTTCAATCGTTTGGTTGACATAAATAAAAAGTTTATTAACTAGCAATTAAGGGAATTTCGAAAATTGATATCAAGAAGTACTAAAGCAATCATAAAAAAAATTAATTTAATTAAATATATTAAAATTACTATCGTTATTTAAAAAAATCAACTTTGATAGTATTAAAATAATATCGCTTTAGCTTTAATACTTTTATAATTTAGTACATGCAAATTATAGCTTTTTTATCATAAATACATTTTTAATACTGTTTATTCATAGATTTTTTTAGGATTTTTTCTCGCAATTTTTTAAATATAGAGAGAAATTTTTGTAGTAATAGAAAATTAAGGAGGGAGTTATATTAAGATATGAAAGCACTCTTTTTCAATATTTACTTAATTACCCCCCCCCTTATTGACACCACTAGTTAACCAAATATGATTTTTGAGTTTTAAAATATTATGGAAAATATTAACTAGATTATATTCCATAAAGGATTTTGAATTTATTGCATTGTATTTTAAATATTTATCAATCTTTTATCATTTCTATACATTTTAAATATTAAATTAAAAAAATGTTTACTCTCTCTTCTTTCAAAAGCAACTTCTCATCAACAATAGCATTTTTAGTCACATAGTGCCCTATTTTAAACACATTGTGACTTTTTGCAAAAACATAGAGATCTCTTGCATTAGGTAAAATTATGTGTTTTCATAATACTTCATTATTGATATCTAGACAAAAATTGGCTTTCATTTCTTTTAAATTGATAAAACCTCCTCCTTAATTTTCTATTTCTATAAAATCCTCTTAAAAAGTATATGTGAAAAAATTCCTAATAAACTACGAAAAGACAACATTATTATTCATGTTATTATTTTCATATAATTTTAGAATAATTGAAAAACAGAATGCTTCCCATGGACACTGTTTGTATGGGATGCCTGATCTTTTCTATTTCAGAGTGTAAGAGCCTTACTAAATTACCAAATGGATTGAAAACATGTTTTCTTTACGGTCTATTTAGAATTAGCCCTTTCAAGGAATGCATTTTAATATTACATTCAGATTCGTGACAAATTTTTGAAGATATAATTAGATTCAAAATATAATGAGATTTTAACTATTTTACTTCTAAATCTATAGATTAAACCGATAAGAACAAATAATATTCTTTAAGATCTAAATCTATAGATTAAACCGATAAGAACAAATAATATTCTTTAAGATCATAGAATCGTAATCAAAAATATTTGGAATCGGAGAAAAAAAACCCTAATGAATTTAGAGGTAATTGATTTTTGAATCACAAGTTGAAATTCGATATTTAAAACAGTTTTATTTCGTTATAATTAATTTCATTGACCAAAAATTGATTGATGAATTAGTAAATGCTAGTCAGGTAGTACATAAGGACATAATCAAATATTTATTATTTCTATAATTTGTTTTAACATTATGCTAAACCAATTTTTCCATATTTCGACAATAATAGCTGTTCTTTAAACTCTCTATTAAGCGGTTTGAAGCATTAAAATAAACAAAATACGCGCTAATTATTGATACAAATTTCTGAATTAATTCCGGAGTTTGGCTTACTTCTTGCTTAAGGCATGATATCTTTTTATTTGGTTCATAATTCAGTTAAATTTTTGTCGTTGGCGAAGGTATTAAGTATTAAACGCAAACTACATTAGAAACTTATAAATCTTCCGCTCGGGAATGATGCCGATTTTAAAATTTTCTTCTTCTTATTTTACGAATATTTTCTACCCTTTAAACAATCTACCATACTGATTAAAGCAATAAATATACTAATCAAGCATTACTTAATGGTTTAGTAAAAATTTCAGAATTAGTGTTTCCAAAAGCTTGACGGACCTCATGCTTGTTTTAATTGTTTACAATTCTGCTTTATAAAACTGATTAGAATTAATATGTATGTATTAATCAGGCACTAAATAAAAATATCAGCGCAAACCAGATATTTAGATACATTAGGTCACAATATCTTTGTAAAAGGATACGTGACTAAAATAGAGCTATATTATTACCGCTTAGTTTGTTGATAGATATTTTAAAGAGATCGCTTTTGAGACACTTTAATCTATAAATCATTTAATTTAATAATTACAAGCGTTCGATCATCTCAATGATGTTTATTTTTAGATTTATGATTTAAAGCATTCTGTTTTATTTAAATAATAAGTTGTGAATTTCATTTCTATATACTTGTTTAAACAAGTGCTCCATGGAAGCGTACTTCCAAATGATTTGAACACATAAAACAAAGACCAAGTCACTATCACTATGTTGTAAAGGCCAACTACAAATGCTATCATAACCGAAGCAATGCCTAGGCCTAAACTTTCAAAAAAATATATTAAAATTAGAAACAAATTTATAATGAAAGCTGTGATAGTAGCATTTTTTTAAAGTAAAAACTAAACTTTTTTACATCTAGTTAGCATTTCTTTTAATTTTTTTATATCATTTAACATTGACTCCAATCAATTTCATTATAAATGACAATTAATCTTGTGACAATGAAAATACAAAAAATAATTGTCAAGTCAAGTTTTTACTTATAAAAATATAAATCCTACTAGCACATAGCCTTTAACTATTTAAATTAAAACCTTTGAACAAGGGAGAAAATTTCCAAATTGCAATTATAGGCCCTGCCTGGGCTAATTGACCTATCGCCAGTTCGAGATAGAGTAAAGGAAATCCGCATATTAGCAACATAATAATGTAAGGTATAAAAAACGCACCTATGATATTAAAAATAATTTGTAAATTTTTTCAAATAAATTAATCAACATTTTGTTAATTTAACTATCCATAATTTATTAATAAACAAGAAATAGTTTTTAATTTCTTTAATTTCAAATCTAAATAGCATTTTCAATTGAAATATTTTATTTTCCGTTCATCACTGTTTTACATCTATCTTACTAGTCAGTGGTGTGTCTGAAATTTTATTTCGAGGGGTGGGTCAAAATATTTGAAAAGGAAATATTAAATTATTAATATCTAGCATTAATTTTGAAGTGATTTTAATAAGTTTTTTTTAATATGTTAATAAAATTATATATAGGAAAAAGAGATATTTCAAAATAATATCGTTGTAAAATGCATTTATTATTTTGTTCTTTAGAGACATATTTAATCCCATTTTTAAATAAATAAATAATTTCGAGGGAAGAGGGGTACGCAAATTTACCTAGATACATTTTAATAAAAAGTATCCCTATTTTAATACATTTTAGGTATATCTTTATCAGTTATTCAATTTATTTTTATACTCTTTTATTTTATAGATTTGTTTGATTTATTCAAAAATTTGAATTTTAAAAATATATATAGGAAAAGTATCTTTAAATAAATGTGATTCTAGACTAATAGTATAAAGGAAAAGAGCTGTAACCTCCCCAATTATCGTAACATAGATAAGGAAATCTCCAAACGTTTGGAAGCCCCATGGAATACCCTATAAACGCCAAAAAAAGTTGTATCTTATTTTTCCAACTGACTCTCCCTGGTCCATGTCGTCTTTTGACAGGATCCTCCTCTAGATCTTCGTTATCATCTCCATATTCTGTATTATCACCACCCAGAATATCTTCTTCAAAATTTTCCACCAATTTTTTGATGTGAATCTTGGGCAAAGAGTATTTCCTAGGAGTTTTAAACGGTAGGATAGAAACTTTGGGCCTTTTTATTTCGTGTGAATTTCTTTTTTTCTGTCGATATTTATGAATATACGGTAGTGACGGGAACTGCTGACTTTGGGTCCCTTTGTAAGTATCGCATGAAGAAGGAATCTTTTATTATAAATAAGAATATAATTTTAAAAATAAATGCTTACATCTATGATGATTATTTTAAATTTTATTTACTGTCATATACTTTATAATATTCATTCTATGTGTTACTATACGAATATTTATAACTAGATTTTAGACAAGTAAGAATTAAAGTAAAATATTTTATTATGCATTAGCCCATTATTGGTCAATTGCTCTATCATACACATTTAATTTTTTTTATGAATACTGTTTATTTGGGACTAAGATATCTTATAAAAATAATTTATGAAGAATAATTCTTAGTGGGTTTTTTGACATGTTGGATAAATGTAACAATAACCAAATAAGAGATTTAAAAAAGGGTTAAATAAATTTATATTTTATTTTAAAAAAGCTATATTATATGTTATAGCTCAAGTTTTTTCCGGCAATGTATTATCTTTCAATTTTAAATCATTTTTTGTGCCGCGCTTTTTAAATTTAAAAATTTTAAAAATTTTAATCATTTTTTAAATTTAAAAATTTAATTTTATCGAAAATATATTCCATCATTTTTAGAATACCAATCTTATGAGTTGTAAACAATTTTGCAGATAACCTTTGGTTCATTTATAATTTAAATAAAAAATCAGAAAAACAAATTAAATTGTAATAAGTTCAGAATTTCATAGCAAATTTATATATGAAATGCATAGGGCAGATATTCCAAACATAATGGTATATATTTCCTTTAAAATCAGATTTTAAAATTTAAAAAACAATAAATGATTTAAGTTGGAAAAATAACACATTGCCGTAAAAAACAATCGTTAACATTTTACATATTCTAATAAATCTTACATGATATGAGAAAAATATATTAATTAATTATAACAAATGGGAGCACTTAGGGTGAAAGCAGTGGCTTTACTAGCCTTTATAATCTCTGGGAACTCAAAATTTATTTTTTAAAATTACATATTTTTTTTTGCTAACATTTTCAAAATGACCTTTTTAAGGTGTTAAAAAAAAATTCACAATCTTAAGGAGGCTCTTCAAATTTTTCAGCGGGCTCGAGCTCCTGTGCCCCCCTTTCCCCTAACAGGATGGGAGTCTATTGCAAACTTGAGTTTATGTCGAGATTAGATCATTTTATTGTCTGATGCAGATATTTTTTAAGTGTGGTATAAAATATTTTATTTTATTTTCATTATATTATTATCAAAAATCGGGAGGTCTAAAATTTTATTTATATTGTCTATAGTACATGATAAATATGGAAAATAGATTTCACATGTGTCTCCCATTTTATAAATACTAATATAGAAATTAGGAATAGTAAAAATATCACTGTATCTATGTGATTTCCATTAATCTCAATTTAATTGCCTTATTAGTTGAGGTTAAACTCTGATGGCAGCAATTTTTATGCGACTGATCTGATTATTTTTCAAAGATCCGAGTCTAAAAAACTATAGGGCCAAATAGCGATAAAATTAGAGGAATATTTTTTTGTATTTTAAGATCAAGGCCCGGCTGGACCGAATTCAATAAAATATAATAAGAGCTCAAGTTCATGCGACTCTACTTCTTTGTGTCTGTAATTTCATAATCAAAGCCCTCATTGTCTCTGACTTCTTTCGGATTTTGAGGGGTTTTTAACAATGCCGATTTGCAATGTTAATTTAAAAAGAGGAATTCGCTCTTGGATAGTTAGTTTCATCCATTATTATAAATTTGTATTGAAAAAATTAAAATTAATTTATTTTAAAAAATTTTTATATTCACTAGCTAAAAATATCACATATTTCAACAACTTAAATTTTTTATATTAATTCATAATTAGACACTTGAGTGGATATAATATTGAAATATGCAGACAAAATTATTTTTTTGGTCAGAGTATGTTTTTTTTAGATTTTTGGGTGGTAAAATAAGGGCAATGATAAACTATAGCAATTTACACAACACTCAATTTTATTAATGCAATTACAAATACATAATATATACGAACTCACATCACTCTCACTAATACCTTCAATCCTAACCCAGACCCTAGGATTTAAGAAACTAAATAAAAATTGTCCAGAGTTGGAATCGAAACAGGGTTGTGCACGCCTGAGTCAAGGTTTCTAACCTATGGACCACACTTGCCATTCCAAAATTACGTTTACATATATTATATATATGGAAAATTTTAGATATTCTCAAATATTCTATAAAAAATACAATGTTCATTACCCGAGAATTGAGTGTTATTATAATAAATATTTTATTTTTTTTTTTAAATAATTTATTAGAAACCCAATAGTATTTTCAAAATATAACAAGATTTTTTAACAATTTTCATACACTGTTGCTTGAAACACATCATTGATTAGTTATGAGTTAGTAATATATAATTTAATTCTCCATCTATTAAGAGAACCGTATCTCTCTCTTGATATAGATTAAGAAATTCAAAACAAAATTAAGCCCTAATTTTCCCAACGGATGGGGAACCCTATGAATGAAAGAGTATACTTTATTGTGCAAGTCGTCTATCTTGGATGGACAAGAAGCATCTGTTATATAAAAATAAAATTACATTACAATATCCATCATTCAATGAATTGCATCAGACATTTATTTTATACTTCACTATATTAGAAAGTTGATTTATGAACGACTACATATCGTTATCTTATTGAGACATTAATTTTTTAATCAGAAAAAGCTTTGTCTATTAAAAATTTCAATCATAATATTTATAACAAACTTATAAATTATTGAAAATAAAATATTTGTGAAATATAACTAGATGCTCGTCCATATGGCATTGTATCGTTTGAATCTCGCCGGCTTCCATTGGATTCTGATATATTTAGCTGTCCAACACTTGATCTTAAACCTATGGCTAAATTGAAGGACATGTCTTCTTTTTTCTTCTTTTCCCTAAGTTTTATTGAAGTTCATATTACGTATCTAAGAGAATATGGAATTTATTAGTGTCGCAGAAGGCTTCGATATCACATTTTTATTTTATAACATAGGATAGAAATCACTAATATTTCTAAACAACTAGTGAATCAGGATATAAGAAAAGCAAATAATATACTCAAAATTAGCGAAAGAGTTAACTTGATGATGTGAGAATTAAATTTTGTGGTATTTTTTCATAAATTTTAGAAGAAATAACAAAAATATAATTGTCATAATATTTCATAATTATTTTTAAAAGATATTATAACCCTAGGGCGATCTTAAATGTCAAAGGTAAAATTTACTTATTTTTTTTTTAAATAAAAAAGCAAAATTTTTAATTTTACCTTTGACGTGTGTAATTAAATTTATTAATACCAGTAGCCAAATTTTGTTATAGTATATACTATTCGTTACAAAAAATCATTACTTTAAAATTGGTTTAGTGCATTATTATATTATATCGATTAAACGGATAGAACAATTTATTATTCGTATTAGTACAAATAATAAAAGGAGACTGGGGTTAGGCAAACCTCCGGGCTTGGCAAACCTCTTAATCTTATTTTAAAATTAAATAGACTAGAAAGTTAGGATTTTATCTTAATATAGCTTTTATTAGTATTGATCTATAGGCAAAAAATTTTTTAAAATAATAAAATTTTGAGTTAATATTTAAAAGATTTCATGGCAGAATTTTAATTTTATTAAGTTATATAATAATTTATATATAAAATAAATTTTATAGCAAAGTTTTAACTCTCTTTTATAATTTGAGAAAGTTTTATGAGTATTTATTTTGTCTAAATATTCTTTCAATCATGATTAGTCAATTTAGAGCTAGCGGGGCTTGCTATACACGTCAACGGCAGTTAATATTAAAAAAAAATTCAAAATCTTGGAGAGAATTTCATGTCTGTGTATTGGTATTTAGGATTTATGTTAAGAAATCATAATTTTTCCTTAAGATTCTTATTTTTAAATGTCCAAAATGTTTATTAAATTAACCAAAATTAAGTTTCAATATTTATATATAATTAGCTTCAATTTAAAAATATTATATTTTGAACAATAAAATAAAAAATAACTCTATGCATATCATTATGAATAAAAAAATGCTTTTCAATTCATTATAGCCTAAAAAAATTAATGATTTAGGAAGCCCCTTGCAGTGGTTTTCCTAACCATGCTATATTGTGACTTGTTGGGCAAAATTCCAACTTTTACAAATAATAAAATTTCAAAAATATAATTATATTTTTAAAAATAAGACACCTTTATAGAATATAGTTATAAGTATCGATTCATATATTGTTCTTTATAATATCTATAAAAAACACAGTGGTTATAGCCAATTTTGCGAAAATCGGTTCTACTAGCCCTATTCTCCACTACTCGTATTCGAATTAAAATAATGCATACAAAAATAAATTGACAGAATTTTTAAAATTTTTTATTGTAATATCTTAGGTTTAAAATTCTTATCAATTGGATTATTTAGCCCTAAAAAGGGAAGCTAAGTCGAGATGCTCAAATATTAGATAAAGAATATATCTGATTATTTTTTTAAATATTATAATCTATCCAACTGTTTTTTTTTCTACAAATATATTTTGCATATTAAGAGTGTTGGGGTATATTGACCACATGGCATAATATAAGAGATGATAAATGGACAGACCATATTAGAAAAAGACATGGTGGGCTAAATGTTAACAATATAAAGAAAAGCTTTGAAATAGTAGCTTTTTAAAAATATTATTAAACTAATTGCAGATTCGGAACCTGTCCTCAAATTGTATATTCGAAAAAATGAAGAAAAAAGAAGGGAGAAAAAACAATTGGGATTATAATATTGTCGTATAATAATATAAATATTATCAGTGAAACTATAACAAACCATATTTCATAACAAGACGATCCATATTTATTCATTAAAAAACAACAATCTAATATCTATCCATTAAGAAAAATATAATAAAATAAATCATAATTATCCAATTCTCCATCTCCCAAGGTCCATTCTTTGTTCCTCGCTGACATCTTCTCCCATTGATCCTATTCTTCATCCCAAATTTCCAACAAAGGACTTTTTATTGACAATCAACCATGTGATGATCCACCTCTTCTTCTCCACCAAGGAAAACTCAAATCCCCTGTCAGAAAATAACTGACATTTGATGTATTAAATTAAATTTGTTTCTTATTTTTTTCAACAGCTACAACAGAAACCATGGAAAATGTGGTTATAAAAAAATTCAAAAGGAAATAGATATATTGAAAATTGTAAAACGACTGGTGTTGATATTAAAAAAAATATATAATATGCAAACTTAGTTCCAATCTACTCCTGTGGGCAAAGCCATGATGGTACATTAAACATGAGTGGTAGGATTATAGGAGTACAGGCTTTGATTAGAGCTGAGATCTCAAGGGCAGCTTTATTTGATGCTATTGTCATCGATTAAATCAAATCTTTGTTCGATTATGTCAACCGATAAAAGAACTAAGAAATGTTTTAAGGATCTTAGACGAGATTCAAGTGTATTTCAATAGTGTTAAAAGATATGCAGTGCTCAAAGCTTGTCAGAGGGATGTACTGACAAAATCGCAACGTTTTTACATCAAAAATACCATTCGATAATATTATAGATATAAAATGTTTAAATTATATTTATTGAAGCTGGCTATTATAAATGTCCTTCAAATATTAATCAGAATTTAATAGAAAGATAATTTATTTGGAATAATAATTTGAAGAAATAATTTAAATAAATACGAATAAATACTGATACATCACCAAAAAAGTATCTAGATACAGATACAATTTTTATCATACTCTACAGGGTTCGCGTTGTTCTCGAACAGAAACTTTTATTATGAGAGTACAAAATACGTAAACACATTTTTATATTTTATAAAAAATAATTATAAAAAAATGTCAATACTCCTATTTTTATCGTTCTTTTGAACAAATTCTTATATAAAACGATCATTTACTTTAAAAAAAAATAAGCTTACATTTTTTTCATTAAAAGTTAGCTGAATATCTATAAAATTATTTTTAAAATTTAAATAAATTTATTTGCTTAAAATAATTTTGTGCATCAATATGGTATTATTTTTAATAATTAATGGACGTCATGGCTAAGCAAGTTTTTACATATTCCTAAACATGATAAAAATATCCTTCCTTGAATTGATACCTATAGATTTAAATGGGGAAAAAAGAAAATAATTAATGATTATTAAAAAAATTTATGTATAAGATTTAATATTTCATATATAATTTAATATTATATATAATATATATTTATTAAATTAGTCCTAATATATTTTAATATATATTTATTTAAATTATATGCTCGTATGAGATATAATGAATTTTGCATTCAAATATTTTTATTTTAAAATAGTTAAATAAAATATCAAAATGTATCTTAAGTATCGAAAACAAATACAGATATCTCTAAAATAGAATCTAGATACTGGATTTTTATTATTTTTCTTTTGCGGAGTTTTAAGACAAAGGATTGTGTGTTTTACATATGATTTTTATCTGAGATTTATAATGAAATATTATGTTGTTTATATGATTTTGCTGTGGATATTGATATTTAAAATAAAAAAGAATATTGGAAATAGAAGCTAGGAGATCTCCAGTCATTTTAGTCACCGGATGCTGCTCAATTTTAATTAAGTTGGCGTATTTTTACTTCCTTGGTTAGTTTCTTTGTTTTTCGACTGCATCGCTTCGGCGTTGTCCACTAAATTTTTAGGAAATGTCAAATCAGATTTTCCGATACAAGGAATGATTTATTTTTATAATAAAAAAATAAAATTGTAAAAGCAATAAATGAATGGCATAAAGTTTCATAAAAGCAATTATGAAAACAGAATAATATAAATAATCAGAAAGAAGTTATATACAAGTCTAGGACAGGATTCAGACTTGGCAGGTGTGTATGCAACGGGGAGGGGAAAAGAGGGTTTACCCAAGGAAAAATATAGATGCCGGCCAAATATGTTCTAAAAATATTAACTGTTTTATGATTATTAATTTATATTTTATAATATCATTCCTACCTCTTATCACATATATATTCCAATTTACATTTATTTATCATAGTAACAGAATAAATAAATACTTTACTAATTTATTCTATGAATTAATATCGATTTCAAATTTTCCTTGACGTTATATTTATTTGCTATTTTAAAATTTCCCACCAAAACATTTGAAATTTTTCACTATAAAATTAAAATAAAATATTTCGAAAAAACATTGATTTTATTGAGACTATAAGAATAGCTGTAAACATTATAATGGAACTTAAGGAAATTAGGGCAAATGTATATGACAAATTTCATAAATATATGCCATTGTTGATTCAAAAGTGGAGTTCTATTGAATTTAAAATTTGTCTACCTCGACTTGCAGCAAGGCAACATCGTTCTAATATTAATATAGGGTCAGTAGAATACTTTTATAACACAATGTAAGGTTCTTTATTATTCAGGCAGCACTTATAAATCTTCAAATATTGTTATGCAGAATCCTTTCGAATCTATTTCAAATCTTAGAGAAAAAATTAAATATTTAGAAGATTTTTATTATCATATATTTTAGCAACTCTACCCATTAGTATACTTCTACCAATGTAAGACATTTTCTTCTTTAATAAAAAAATATACTTGAGAAGTACTAACTCTGAAAACAGATTGAATGGGTTAACCCTTCTTAATGTAGATAATGAGTTTTCACATTAGGATAAAATCATCTAAAAATTAGCTCAGTCCCGAAGAAGAATGAATTTTATACTATAAATATTAAATATACTTAATTATATATTCTCATTTTTTTATGAATATTACAAGCATCAGTGTTGTTAAAAGCTACTTTTAAAAGTAGCGCGCTATTGTTACCGCTATTTTACAAAAAAAATTAGTGCCCTACCGCTAGCATTTTTAAAAAAGTTGCGCGCTATTAGCTACTTTTTAGGCTGCTTTAGAATTAATATTTTTTACGTATCCCATTTTCACAAAAAAAATGACTAAAATTTCAAATTTACATATAATTTATTTATTTTTTATTGCATCTCAATAATAATAACATTTCCATACTGTCACCCCCAAGTCTAGAGTATAAGCTAT